CGGCCTTCAGGGCTTCAGTCTTCAGCATGTGCATCTGTTATGTGATCAGCCTTAGTGAAGGCTCGATGCCCCGGTGAGCTCCTTGGAGCCTGCCATCCTTGCAGTTTGCGCGACTTGCAATATTCTGGCCATCCGAGGGAAAGCCGCTCGATACCCCCGAGCCCTGCTGAGACCCGCGCTCCTTCGTCCGCCTCTCGTGGGAGCCGAACTTTCGTGTGTTTTGCTGTTTTTGCCCGTGGAGAGAGTCCAAGGCCTGCGCCCGAGAAAGTGCTGACAAGCACACAGGACGCGCAATGATAAAGTGAGCTAGGGCTTGCGCTTGGCTCTGTACGAGGCTCGAATGAGAGATCTGTTGGTTTCACCGGAAAGGCTACATTGGCTGCATACCTGCCTTGAAATTTGAAATGCATGACGTAGCTCGCCATGCACGAGTGCGCGCAGCACATATAGATTTGGCTCAATGTGCTGAAAACAGGGGCCATGAGCACGCAAGGGCATGGCGCAAGAGGTATTTCACCTGGAGGGGAACAAGAGTGAAGCAGCCCTCACATACGACCGGTTGAAGAGGCCTCCGCGTTTCATGCATCGTTTGCCTGAGTCCGCAAACGCCTTCGTTCCTTCTCCTGAACAGCTTCGTGGTCTTCGTGTGTCGTGTTCCATGGTGTTGAAGCCTGGAGTGCGAGGCTGATCTTCTGAGTGTCTTGCAGGTGCACGTCGCAGCACACTGTGTGGGCAATGTGGGCAATCCTTGCCTCCGACCGCGCAGCCTTTGGTTTGCGCTTTCGCCACAAGTCCGAGGCCACGGCTTCCTTGGATTATGATTGGATTCCAGAGGGCCCCCCAGAGCAGCTGCCACCTGTCCCACAGTGCCACAATTCCCACACATACCCGACTCTGCACCCCCGTTCACACGATTCTGATGGATGTGCCTTGTGTGTCGTGTTCCCTGCTGGTCTTGGAGCCAGGAGTGGGAGTCTGATCACGAAGGTCTTACAGGCGCAGGCGTGCATATGGCGCGCGATGCGCAGTCAAAGCTGTTTCCGTCCACAAGTCCCTAGATAACGCATATGATGCCATGTCCTGCAGTTCAGTGGATCCCAGGTTCAGTCCGTAGAGCTGTCAAAGTTCCTCACGCGGCTGCCCTCTGCAGCTGCAGCACTCTCAGCACTCAGCTGTCGATGTGCCCTTGTATCGTTGTATCGGGCCCCCTTCTCGTGTTCCCTGCTCTTGCCTGAGCAGCATGGCGAGTGCGGGTCATAGCGAAAGCTCTCTTAAGCAGAGTGAGTGAAAAAGTGAACTTGCTATCGCGGTCGGAACGCCAGGCCCTCTTCCTTGGAAGTGAAGAGGAATTTGTGCCCAGGCCCGACTCCGACTCTGCACTGGTCCCCTGCTGTTGAGGCCTAAGCCTGCAGGGCTGCAGGCAACGAAGCCTTGAAAAATTGGGGAGCACGGGCATGGAGCGCGCCGCGCAACGAAGCCTTCGTCTTGCAAGCCAGGGCCCGGGCCAAAATCAAGTTTGCAGTCTGGGCAGCCAGGGCCCGAGCCAACCGCTCTTTCGCTCTCTGAACGCGGCAGCGGTGTGCAGGCACGGGCATGGCGCGCGATGCGCAGCCAAGCCAAGCCAAGCGCGGAGGGGCGCTGTTGCTTAGACAAGAAATTGTTACTCTTGGGAGAGTGAGGGTGGCCATGGCCCCAAGGGGTTCCAAGTTGCGGCTCAGCTGAAGAGCCTTTCAGTTTCCCTCGGTTGTCACGCCGCCAGATGCCATTTTTGCAGCATGATCCCCTTGGATATCTCTCCTCAACACTCACGAAGCCCCGATACCAGCGACATTCCTATTCTGCGCGGTGGCATGCTGTGCTTCTGGAAGCATCGCTGCCAGTCAGAGTACACGGCGTAGTTTGCGATGCACTTGCGGTGTGCTCGCAATGGAGAAAAGCAGTCCAAGGCCTAGGAAGACCATGCACTGTACACAGAGCAACAGCTCATGCCCGACTCCACAACCACCATCGCGGTTATCGCTTTCCGAATTCTCCAACTGCACAGCTGGAAGACCATGCGCTGTACACAGAGCAACAGCTCATGCCCGACTCCACAACCACCATGATGTTGGTCGAAATTCCGAGCTTCCCAGGGACCATCACCAACTCGCATCTGTGGCTCAAGACGCACGCAGCGGCCCACGCAGCCCTACATCAGTGTGGATCTCTTGGGTCGGTCACAAGCCCGTGATGCAGTGCATTCCAAAGGCACTAGTGCAGCGAGCAAATCTTTGCCTCACCCCGCGAACGATATCACCCTGTGAATTCCACCGCCGTGCAGCTGGATGTTTCTTGTGTGTTGGGTCTTCCATGCAGGGCTTGTAATCTAGAGCTTTCGGAAGGAGCCTAGATGGCCGAAAACGTCTCCTGCATTTTTCATAGTGCCAAGCCTGAACAACTGGTCGCACGTTGTTTCGGCATCTGGCAGTCCGATGTCTAAGACCACCGCAACCCTTTGATTGGGGTGGGCTCAAACCGTGCAGGATTCAGACTGCCTTCTACCTCATTGTCAATCGCATGTCTGCACTTCAACCACGGCCGACGAGGGGGATAGCCAGAAGGTACCCTGGAACTGAACTCCGTGTTCGTCGCGTGGCATCTTTGCTGCATGCAGGCATGAGATGAAAACATTGGCGGAAGAGGCAACGCTGCCGCAGGAAGGTAGTCGTAGTAGAAGGAACGGAAGGAATGCGGCCTTCGTTTTCTTCTCGGGAGGTGCCCGGCAGGCATTTCCAGAAGCCTACATTGTCCTTGCTGGCCTCATGTTCCCTGCAGCACACGCCAACGCTTCGGTGTTGTCGGTGAACTGCATGGAGGTAGCCTTGCGGTTCGCAACGTCCGCTGCTTTTGCAAAGGCGATTCTTGGGTTCATTCCTCGAGTCTACGCTTCCAGGTGATTTTGATCGGGCACTCGCTCGGTGCATATGTGGCCCGTGCAGTGGCAGGACACCTGGAACGCATGGACTTCAAACTGTACACGAATGTCCACTTTTGAGCTCTAGTACGCTGTCTGCAGCTTGCAGCGCTCATGTGAGCATTTGGCGAGTGCTTCTGCACTTTCAAAGGGCTTCAGGACGAATTTTCTCCTGTGTACAGTTGGGAGGATTCGCCAGCTTACGCGACCAGCCGCGTGTCTTGAGTCTTGCGTCGCAAGTTTTTCACTTCGGCGCTCACTTGGGGCACGTTTGTTTCCTGTTACACCTGGAACGCATGGGCACCGATGTAGTCGCCACTGTGGCCTTGGATCCACGAACCACTGCAGAATCTCTCTCGAAGTTGGAGTTCCCCCCGGCTGTGACAAGTCGTTGTGCACACGTCCGGCTACAGGGTCTGCAGTTGACATGCGATGCACCCTACGTGCCTTTCATGAGGCTGCCCCAGCGGAAGCATTGCTGGAGCTGTGAGTTGATGAGAGACGCCACAGTAGCCATCGAGGCTATGAAGAGGCTGTCGGACACCAACCACTACACACTGGCAGATTCGCATTTCTGGGACATAGCCTTGGCGATCAAAGATGTTGCCCGGCCTGAAAACCAGGCCCGGCGCAAGATTCAAAGAATGGTTGGGCTCAAGAGAAATCGCAAGCGAGCAAAGCCAAGATGCCAAAACAAGTCAAAGGGTTCCTTGCTGCTGTGAGACCGTGCAGTGCAACATCATCGAGTCTTCGGGAGCCTAGGAGTCTAGGATGCAAGAGAAGGCGACTCGCGTTGCACAGATGCTAGAGGTCGACTGTCGATTACCGCAGATTCCCAACTGTCAGGGCCAGCAAGACTAGTGTTTGCCTATCAATCACACCATCGGCGCATAGTAGATGTCGTTCAGTGTCTTTACCAGATCGGGAAGCCAGAAAATTCACAGCCTAGCCAAGTTGTTGTAGTCAGCATGCCCCAATCCTCGCAGATTCAGCAAATCCCACCTACACTGAAGGTTGCTAAAAGTGCGTGCGCAAGCATCGACCTCAAACACACACCCCAAGCTGCACATTGCACACAAAGGCATGAACTTCATGGTCCAGACTTACACCTAAGCAAGCCTCTTGCCTGCCCATGGGGCTTTCCATGCTGCAAGGAGGTGTGACCGACGTGGGCTGGGGTTGAAATTTTATCGTGCCGATGATGCGGTCTTCATGCCACTACCACACTCAGCCTACACTCAACGCAGTCAGGGGGAAGAGAGCGGTGGGGTCCTTTGCAATTAGAATCAGAAGAGGGAAGGGGAGAGAGAGAGAGAGAGGCCTTTACTCTGAGCAGGGGCTATTGTTGAGCTTCGCTGTGTTGTCTTGGAGCCCGGGAATCCGCACAAACCAGCAGACCACTGCACGTACCTAGGGGTGGGCGTCATGCACAATATAGCAAGAGCTTCCCTTCACACATTGGGGGAACCCCCCAACTCTCTATGGCACCCTAAACCCTATTCCACTTCGTCAACTCCTGGGGTTGTTCCGGGAATCCTGACGGCCATAAGCATGAACGAAACACCTGACCACAGTTCGGGGAGCACAGGTGCTGAGTCAATGCACTCCTCAAGGAGTATTACGTATGACCTTCGCTTGACCTTAACTGCAAGCCGTGCTGCTTTGCCTTACACACCTCAAACCCTGTAACACCATACGCACAAGTTTCACACCGACAGACCCGGTGGAGCGTGCCCCTAGGGGCGGCCTCTTTCGAGAGGCCAAGCGCGCTTCAAGCAAGCAAGCAAGCAAGCAAGCAAGCAAGCAAGCAAGCAAGCAAAAGAGAGAGAGAGAGAGAGAGAACACGACCTGAGAGCACGACCTGACAGCATGTACGGAGTGCACGTCTGAGTTCGACAGGCTTCAGCGCATGGAGGCAGGTCTCTCTCTCTCTCTCCGGTTCCGATGCGGTGCCAAGTGCCAAGTTATCTGCCTGCCAGCTTTTTTTGCAATTGTATGTCTGCCCCTTCGCAAGGGGCACTCAATTTTGCTCTTTCAGCTCTCCGCAATGCTCGGTGAAGGGGGAGATGACATTTCAGCTCCCTGGGTATCCTTAAAGAAGTTGCCTGAGAGGGGCCTTCTCCTGGCCGCTGCCACGCTGGCCTCGCCGGCCGATGAGGTTCGTGCCGCAGCATACAACCACTGCGCATTCGCATCTTCTGAATGCTGCGACTCTACGAGACTCTACGAGACTCTACGAGACTCTACGAGACTGTACGAGACTCTATGAGACTCTACGACACTCTACGACACTCTACGACACTCTGCGACACTCTACGACACTCTACGACACTCTCCGACACTCTACGGGACCCTACGGGACCCTACGAGACCCTGAGAGACTCTACGACTGAAAAGCTTGCTGACTGAGGTAGCGAACCCTGGCTTTTGGGATGCACTCTACGCCGTTGCCTCAGCAGGTGCTTGAAAGCACCGAGTGGCTTAGGGCAGGAACTCGAGTCGCTTTGGCCCAGGGTTCAAGTTGCCGAAAGGAAGAAGAAGGAGGAGGAGAAGAAGAAGAACATCAAGACGTCCTGAACCCGAAAACAACTAAAGTGCCGGAAAGCTGGCCACGAGCCGCCCAGTTTTTCTACCGCCTTTCCCTCTTCACCCTGGTGCCTAGGCCGAGAGTGCGCGTGCCGGTGTCCAGGACTGCGGATTGGGCTACGTAGTCCCTGTTTTGTGCGTTTAGCAAGGCTAGGGATTATGTCGGCTTTTAAAAATGGCTTTGAGAAGTTTTAGGAAGGGTTAAGTAAGGGTTTCAAAATGGGTTTGAGAAGCTAAGGAAGCTTAGGAAAGGTCATGCGTTGAGCTACCGGTGCAGCTCGGAGCAGTTCTGGCTCTTCAGGGGCTCCTCTTGCACTTGTGTTGTTGTGGTCGCTTTAAATCAGGGGCCACGGGAACTGGGGGTTTAGGATCTAGGGTTGTTAGGGCTACAAGTGGGTCCCCGTAAATGTAGTCCCGCAAAATGAGGGCGCCATGAACCCCCCAGTTCAAATCCCCTCAGCTACCGGTCCTACACCCAACTCAATGTTCCGCGGTTCCTGGAACCGCCCTGAACTTTAGCACAAACCCCATATCCCTAAACCCTAAACCCTAAACCCTAAACCCTAAACCCTAAACCCTAAACCCTAAACCCTAAACCCCTTGACTCTCCTCCTCCTGGCCCTCAGCCCCGCATCTCGGAGGACTTCAACGCCTCCTGGCAGGGCCTCACGGCGGCGAGGCTGCTCGAAGCACCTCGGCGGCCGAAGCGCGCCCCATTGGGGGTTTAGGGTTTAGGGTTTAGGGTTTAGGGTTTAGGAGCCCCTTATAATTAAGGACCCCAATAACACATTTCGGGTTTTTTTTGGGGCCCCGATGGGCTCCTCAGACCGCCAAGGCCTCAGTGAGCAGTATGCTGGGCATGCTGGGGCCGCATTGAGGACATGGGCTTATCATGATACATACCCTCCACCTGCCATATCAAGCTCCCATTCAACATCAGTTTTAATTGTTCAACCCTCTCCCCCAGACCCCAAACCCCAAACCCCAAACCCCAAACCCCAAACCCCAAACCCCAAACCCCAAACCCCAAACCCCAAACCCGGGGACAAGTTGAAAAGCTGTTGCCTTTTTATCTTGGTTGAGGTGCTTGACGGGCGTCTGGAGCTCCGCAAGGACTTGGGAGTCCGGGCACCTCCGAGTTGCGGAAGCCTGGGGAGGGGGGGGTGGGGGGGGAGCGTTCTGTTGAGGTAGCTTCTTTGCACCCCAAGGAAGTTGGGGCCTATAGGGTTTGATAGGGTTTGTGGGGTTTACAGGGTTTATAGGGTTCTTGTGGGGTTTGTAGGGTTTATAGGGTTTATAAGGTTTATAGGGTTTAGAGGGTTTAGAGGGTTTGTAGGGTTAAGAGGGTTTATAGGGTTTATAGGGTTCTTTAGGGTTTAGGGTATCTTTCAGCCGTAAGTTTCGTTCTCGGTGCCGGAGGAGCTCCGCCTGGTCGTCTTCGGCAGTGGCGATGCCGCACTCTGCCAGGCACGGCCTGCCCCGCTCCCTCCCCCCCCCCCTCTCCCTTTCCCCCCTCCCCTCCCTTCCCCCCCTCCTCCCCCCCCCCCCCCTACCCCCCCCCCCCCCCCCCCCCCCCCCCCCAAAAAAAAAAAAAAGAATCAAGAAGGAAGAAGAATGAAACAAGGCTCAACCTGAAAGTGCTGTGGGCAGGAGCTCCTGGATTTCGGCCTTGCAGCGGTCACGGCTTGGGGCCTCGGAAACACCGGAGAAGTCGAGTCAGGAGAGCTTATATGAAAAGGGGCCCAAACGTGTGAGGCTGTGGCTATTTTCTCAGATTCTTATCGTTTCGTAAGCCTTAATTGTTTCATATTGTTTCGACGTGTTGCCAGGGCTGTTTGTCTAGAAAGAGTACGCTTCTTGTTAGTAGCAGTGAAGGCTTTGATTCTGGGAGCTGTTGTTATGCAGCCTTGCTGCTTTAATAGAAGAAACAGCCAAGGAGTGTGTTGGTGACCTAGGGGAAAGCTTGAGAAAGCATTTATACTTTTTGACTCCCTTTTCACCCTCTACACGCTTCAGTAGGGTTGTTTCGAAAAGTCGACCCACCGCTGAGCGCGCTCAGTCCCGGATTGTCGGATTGATGTTGTCGGATTACTTTGGGAAGGTCGTAGGGTGCTAGGGCTGTGGCGCTGCTCATGCCACCCATGCATGTCGAGATCATAGGTGTTACAAGTGCCATCGGATGCCATCGGCATTTCTTAGACCAGCTTCTGTGCCAATTCTTGCCATGGTGCCCACATGCTGATTATGCTGGTGCTACCAGGGCATCCATGGCCGACACGGCGATGCAGTGCCCTTGTAAACTCAGACCCCGGGGAGGCCCCAAAAGAACTGTCACATTTTGGGTCAGCGGCACGCTTCTGCAAAATGCTGTGTTCACTCACCTTCCCAGAGGGCCTATCAACGCTTAGATTTTTAAGGCACGTTTGGATGCCTTCGAGATGCCTCGAAAATACGAGCCGCTGCACGAGATTCAAGGTGACGCTTCGAGGCTGACATACGCACCGGTTGACTTGTTGACAACCTATAGCTCCCGAAGTCAGCCAGCATTTTTGAAGATTTTGCAGTCCCGAGCTATGAATGTGGCAGTAGGGTTTAGGGTTTGAGGGTTTGAGGGTTGAGGGTTTAGGGGTTTAGGGTTTAGGGTTTTAGGGTTTTAGGGTTTAGGGTTTAGGGCGTTCATCGAGCATGGCCCAGGCAGTGGACTTCAGCTCCACGCTGTCGCGGCAGAGGCCAGGGAGGGGATATGGGGGTATATAGTCCCCCATGTAGTAGGATATATAGTCCCCCAAATAGTAGGAGTCCCTTCTAATAAGGGCCCCAAGAAGGCAACCCCTAATATCGGCATATGGACTGCGGCTCTTGGCTGCGGCCCAGGCCACAGCGGGATGGCGTGCGATGGCTCGTCGAGGAGCCCGACTACATCGGGTTTAGGGGTTTAGGGGTTTCGGGGTTTCGGGTTTAGGGTTAGCCACTTTGTGGTTGTGGGGGACCGGCATTTCTCGCTGCCGCACCTCGTTGCCGTTCCCCTGCAACAAAGACAAATCTTGGGGATGACCGAGATCCAAACGAGGCTCACATCTGGGGTTTACGGGAAGCTGGCGCTTTCTGGATTCAGCTACCTTCTGGCTCCCAGGCCCGCCCTTAGGCTTCAGTTGAGCCTTTTTTTGAAGATTTTCCGCAGGATGTTCGAAAGCAGACGTGTCGGCCTCAGGTTTCCCAGGATGGCTATGTTGGGGCCTCGGCACTCAGAAAAGCCACCCGCAGATTGCCAGGTCCCTCGACGCGTCTACGTTTGATGCCGTCCTCGAGCTCGGTACGCGGCTGGCCCGCAGCTAATGCTCCGCGCATCGCGAGCAGCTTCAGATTCAGCTCAGCGATTAGAGATATAGGTACGAAAATACTATACAAGCTGACAAGCTTGCAGACTGCTTGCACCACCAAAATCGCTCTGGACCTCCTTTTGAACTTTTTGAACTCCTAGTGCTCGTGGCTCTGGGTGGCGGCCAAGGTTAGACACAGCTGCTGCAGCTGGCGGGGAAGGGGCCTGGGCGCGAGTGGGGGAGGGCGCCCTTGCTCCGGTGAGTTTCAGAGGGTGACGTTCAGCATCCAAAGGTTCAAGAGCATGGCCACAACAAGCGAACACCCCTGCTTTCCAAGCCTCAAGACGCGATAACCCCAAAGCGCCCGAAGCCCAAGTAGCAAAATTGCCCCTCCCTCTCTGAACAACGGAGCTTCAAGAACTCACCAAACCCCAAACCCCTGAAAGCCTCGGCCCGGACTCAAAAGAGCAATTAACATCCCTGTACTAACACCCCAAACAAGCACAAGCCCCCCCCCCCCCCCTCTCCCTCTCCCTTAGGTCCTAAACCCTTTACCGCCCCAGGCTGCTGGCCTCCTGCGCGAGGCACGGCGGCTCCTGCGGGCCGGAGGCGCCACCCCCATGACAGAGCCAGAGGGGCAAAGAGATTTGATAATTAAACATTAAGCACGAATTTAAACCTCAAAGCCGAAGACGAGACAGATGCGGTAGTGACTGCGACAAAACGTGGCCTTGAGAAGGAGGCAGTATAGGGTTTAGGGTTTGGGGTTCAGGGTTTTGGGTTTAGGGTTTGGTTCGGGTTTAGCCTTGAGCCCTAAACCCTGCTTAAACCCTCTAAGCCTTAAGCCCCAAAACCTGAAGGCCCTCTGAGCCTTAAGCCCGAAGAAAGCCATAAATTGAGAACCCTTCCTTTGCAGAAGCCCTCAAAGCCCTAAAGGGCTACGGCGGAGGCCTGGCTTCGGACTTCGAACCGGAGCATGTCGAGACATTCACGTTTTCTCTGACATGTTGGCTGTACATGGTCTTCATACCAGGATGCCGTCGCATCCTTGTACCAAAGAGAGATGCCCCTACACGTCTCCTCTCGACTGCCCCTGTAGGTCTCTTCATCTCCGGCTCCGCGGACCCTCCAGAGTCGGGGAGCCCTGGAAGGCTTATAGTACTTAAGAATAAGTATATACTTGTAAGGCACGTACCTTCTGAAGGGCTTTCGGTTTTCTAGGGTCTAGGGGTAGTTTTCCCTTCGAGTTGTTGCGCGGGATGCTGCCCCCAACGCGAGGTTTCGGCTCCCCCTCCTCGCAGAACATCCTGCAGGAGGCCCGGGAGCCGGTTTTGGTGGGATGGCGGGCATGCTAAGCCCAAGCCGCGTCCCCTTCCACGCCGGTCATGCGTAGAAAAACTCGCGTTCAGAGCTGTCAGGTTGGGCCGAGAACGCGGAGGTCCTCAAGCCTGGGATCCCAAGTGCATGGGAGGAGAGAAGTCTCGAGTGCGCCTGTTGCTTGGAGCTTGGGAGGGATTCTCAAAACTTTGCAATTATGCTGTACGTCCACCACGTTCTCGTGGTCGGGCTGTGGGGATTCGGGGAAGCAGCGGTTTCCACGCATGGCCGAGGCGAAGTAAAACTGGCTGGTAGAGGAGCATGTGGTAGATTGGCCAGTCGTGCGCACGCGATAAGAGTGGCTGCATGTGAAAAGCCTTCAGCACGAACGACCAGGGGAGGGGTGGGGGTTTAGGGTTGTAGGGTGGGTGGGATGCAGGGTTGTCGTAATTTAGGGTTTAAGGTTTAGGGTTTAGGCCTCAGGGATGAGTCAGCCCTGGACGCCCATGACCAAGTGACATCGTGGGATCTTGTCATGACATACACTGACCAAAATGAATGGGAGCGCGGCTTTACGTAAGTGTTTATCGTCTGGAAGGCCGATCCCTGCATATTCCTGCTAGATTCCGAAGGTTGAAAGCGATGTCGACTCCGGGGTTTGGGGAGGCCCATCAGACCCCCGAAAAAGACCCAGGCTTCCCCGTTCCCTCGAGCTGGCTTGGGCCTAAGATTCGGGAGTCTTGTTCCTTTGCACCGTCCTACAGAGCCCTTGCCAAGTTCCTTGTCAAAGCCAATGTGTGACAACCAGTGCATGACGCCTGTGGTTCAGGGGTCTTCTTCGTATCTCGGGCCACGCTTGGTGCTACACTTGAGACTCTTCCCAAGTCGCCCAGGATCCGAGGGTGAAAGACTTGGACCCGAGCTGGGAGGCCTCTCACTTGCGATGCGGCTTTCTTGCGGCTTTCAAGGTATGTAGACAGATGTGCATAAGTTTTTGCTGGACACATAGACTTGTCGTGGTCGCCAGGTGGAGAACATCTTCATCTATGTGAGCACAGCTGCCGGGGAGGCTGCGGGCCGCCTTGCATACGTCTCGTTCTCTCACTACCTGCAACACCTGCAGATGTCGTTGCCGAAAGCCCCCCGAGACCTACCTAACCGACACCTAACCTTCTCAATCATCAAGAGCGACCAGGTGGAGGCTGGGCAAAGAGCTTCCAGCGAGGACGGCGTCGGGTCTCGGGTTTGTTGGCCTTCCTTCAATTTGGAGTGTCTTTCGGCCTCAGAAGGCAGGTCCAGGTTTGACTTGGTGGTTCGAAAGGGAACATGCCGCATGAACTGATAGCAGATGATCGAAGCTTTTGCAGCCTCTTGCCTTGATGGCACAGGTGGGCTCAGGGTCCCGTCCGGACACTCTTTCTGATGCACCGCCACCTTCATCCGTCGAGCCGGCGGAAACGGCAGAGCCACCGTCCACCACCACCACCACCACCACCACCACAACAACCACAACAACAACAACCACAACAGCTGCCGCCGCAGCAGACCCAGCGCACCCAGCTGAGGAAGCGACCGTTGCAGCCGAGGAGCCCATCACAACAACCACGACGACGACCACCACCACCACGACACCGGAACCTGAGTCAACTCCACCTGTACCTGCGCCAGCACCTGGTCCACCAGAGCCCATGCCCTCGGAACCAGCACCACCCGAGCCGTCACAGCCTCCAGCGCCCGCTGAGGTGCCCACCGAGCCTGTGGCCGAGCCAGCAGCCGAGCCCGCCCAAACACCTCCCACTCCACCAGTAGCCACCCCGCCGGTTCCAGCCCCACCAGCCCCACCAACCCCACCAGCTCCTCCACCAGCCACACCAGCTCCACCAGCTCCTCCAGCTCCACCCACACCCGTCCCACCCCCAGAGCCCCCTGCACCGCCTCCGAGCGAACTCAAGGCGGGGGGGGGCACCGCAAATAAGAGTGACGAAGAAGACGGTCTGTGGAGATAGAGGGAGCCGAAGAAAGCCCGCCCTCTCATGCCAGAGCTTCTGGAGACGAGGGAGGGCCAGTCACACAAAACGAACCGGCAGAGTCAGGTTATCATTTCTCTATAGACGTCTGACCCCACGTCCCACACCACCGTGAGCCATGAAGAGGCAGATCTCACTTATGAAAGCTTTGTTCCAGTACCCCCCACAAGGCCGCAAGATCTGAATTTCAGTTTCGAGGGCAATGCAACGACTTTGCACCCCTTTTGTTGGGCCATCATGTAAGGAAGATTTTGCAGGGCGTCCTAAGCCCGAAACCCCCCTTTTCAGAATACAGTCTATGCCCCTCTAAACCCTAAAACCTAAAACCTAAACCCTAAACACCAAACAGCCTAAACCCTAAACCCCAACCCCCTAAATCCTGAACCCCAACACCCTAAACCGCAATCCTTGCGGAGGCCGAGGATGCTTTTGCAGCGAGCATACGGCGGCTTCAGGAGCAGGTGGCCGGAGTGAGATTTAGGATTGAGGGCTTGGAGTTAAGGGTTTGGGGTTTGGGGTTTAGGGGTTTAGGGGTTTGGGTTTGGGGTTTAGGGTTTGGGGTTTAGGGTTTGGGGTTTAGGGTTTGGTGGTTTAGGGCTTGTAGCAAAGGCTGTTTTGAGAGGGTTTTTAGGCCGCTTTCTAGGGGTCCATATGTTTGGGGCGGGCGGAATTGGGGGGAGGGGGTGTTGTTCTTCCCAGAACACGTCAAAGTTCCGAAGTGGCGGACTGTTGGATTCCTCCACACGCAAGTCTCTCTGCTCCCCATTGACAGGCCCCGAAAACTTTGCCCAAAAAGGAGGCTGCAGGGTGGATGCGGGGGATCTCGAGGAGAGGTGGGGAACCTCTGACTCACAGGCGAGGCCGAGGCGAATAAAGTGCAATGAAGCATTTGTGAGGTTGGTATTCAGGGCTCAGGGTTTAAGGTAGGTGGAACTCGAGACGTACCTCTCTACCCATGAGTTTTCAAGGCGCAGGCCTTGGCGAAATCAGCAAAGTGATTCTGACGGGCATCCGCCATCAAGCAGGGAGAGGCCACGGATAGGATCAGGGCCCGAAGAGTAGCGTTCAGGTTGTCCCTGACATGCCTTGTAGCCAAAGGCTACGACTCACATGACCGGTGCAAGCGCAAAAAGGCCCAAGGGAATAACAGGCTGGATCAAGCTCGCAAGCGCAGCTTGCTTGACTTCGAACCGGAATTCTCCTTTGGGCTCGAGATCCCCATTGTTGATGCTCCCAGGCCACCCCACCCAAAACCAGCCCAAATCGAAGGGCGATTCGTGTGCAACTCGCATGCAATGCTCGAGCTTCAGAAAGCGCCTCACAGCCCCAGCCTTGCCTCCTGATAAGCCCCGGTCCATGTTTGCCCGTCCGCTGCCGCTGCGCCTGCAGCCGCCATGCGCGGGCGGCCGCGCGGGCTGTCGATCGGGCTGCCGCGAGGGCGGCCGCGAAGGGTGACCGGGACCCGCATTTGTTAGGCTATGTCGGCTATGTCTGTCGTGAAAGAGAAGTTTCGTGCTTAATGATCTGAATGAATCCAGCCCGAGCTCAGGAGCCATTTGTTGCGCAGGTGACAAAGGCGGGGGGAGCCTCTGCGACGGAATGCATTTCGGCACCCAAGGAGGAATGAAGTAGGGGACAAAGGGCGGCAAGAGGGTAGTTTGCACGCGACGTGTCCCGCGCCTTGCCTCTGCTTCAGCTGTGTGGAATGCCCTCTGTTTTTTCGAGTCTGCAGAGGAGTCGCGTCGCTCATCAGTGCCTTGGTGCAGCGGCGGTGGTCGAGTCATGTAGTTCACGTGCTCCGAGAAGGCGGAGCACGGGGGATCCCATCCACAGAGCCCAGGTGCGGCTTCGATCCAAGACACCGCAGAAAGAGCTGCGCCCGAGAAAGCGCCTGAGGAGAGCTTGACGTGATTCGCAATGAGAATTTTCTACTGCTACTGCTATCTTTCATTTCCCATGCTGTCATCACTGTAACGATTGCCAGTGGTCTTGCTCTCAGTATTCTTAGTATTAAGCTTGCACTTACCATTACTGTTGCAGTTGCTATTGCTATCACATTCGTACCTTCGTGTTCGTATTAGCAGTTCGTATCCTTGTTGATGCTACAACGAAGGACCACATCTCTTCTTGCCAGCCATGTGTAACCCAGAAGCTAGAAGAAGTCTTTGCGTAAGCTCCGCACAAGTTTTGACAAGTTTTGTGCAGGTTTATGGTCTCCCTGCAGGGCAAGTCCCTTCTCGCATCTTTCCTCGCGTGCAGGGTCTATGGTTTAAGGTTTTCGGTACCCAAACCAGAACTTTAAATATCAGTTGGACAACCAACCCAGGCTTGAGAGCCATCGGGCTTCAGAAGGCTCATGCTGGTTGAATCACACCCGCTAGCTATGTTTGACGGCCACGCGGATGCAGCACGTTTCGCGCAGGTTTGTGCAGGTTTCGTTTGTGGAAGGCGTGCCGCGGCAAATCCCCGCGCCTGTAGGTTTGTGCAGGTTTGTGCAGGTTTGTGCAGGTTTGTGAGTAGGTCTTCCTTCGCGAGAACAAATTGTTTAGGGTTTTTTTGGCGGTTCACTTGCTCATACAACTGAGGCAGACGATCTGCTAGAACCTGAGACGAGTACTTTAGCCATCCCTTCGCCACTCTACCCCACCCCGCACACGTTGCGCGTGGCTGCAGTGTGACAACATCAGGACAAAGACCCCCGAGCGTAAAGTGCTATTTGCGGCCCGGCTGCAGTTTGCTTTCAGGAACTGCGAATTTTCTAGGCTTTCGCTAGGATTGCCGCGCCCTCGCACAGACACCAAGCCAGACGCTGCTATGAGGTTCGCCAAAGGCCGAACCATCGCCGCACCCCTGGAGGCGGCCATCCGCAGAAGCGGCTCAGGACGGCAGAGAAATCTACACAGCTTTTACGACGGATAAACAGGAGCAAGAACAATAAGGAGAGAGCTGAAGTTGAGGCTTGCGAGAGAGAGATCCGAGATATATGGCCTAGTGGCCTGTAGCACAGGACAAAGACTCCGCCCCGCGATGTGGAGTGGGCAACATGGACGCAACAGCGTGGAGGCATCGTGTTGTGTGCCCCTTCGCATTGAAGCAAACTTCAACAAAGGCTCTGAATCCCAGAAAGCCTGTTGAATGTCGCCTAGGCAAGGACGCCCAGCTGCGGCACGAGACCTGGGCACAAGACCCGGAGGTGGGCCCTCACGGGAGAGCATTGAGAACATGCAGCAAAACCGCCCCAAAACGCCAAGTGATGCGAAGCTGACGCCCTAGGCCCCAAAGAGCGGAGGTGTGCTTGGCGACTCGGCAGGTTTAGGCGAGGTGGCTACGCCCCCGCAATGGAACATTCGGGGGTCTTGTCGCGTGGGCTTGGGGTCAATTTTGTGGCCGGTCGTCGTGCTACGAGAGGTGCCAGCTGAGTTGGACCATGTCTTCTCAGCATGTAAAACGGCGCTTCAAGCTTCCACCAAGTTCGACAAGGACAGACTGTGTGGTTTGCCCCCTGAACCCCAGCTGCACCTAGAAAACCTCGTTTGGCTCGCAACCCTGCACTGGGGGAAGCCCGTTGAAGCCCTCCCCCAAAGCCAAGCATCTTCTTCCGCATTCTTCCTCGGAGTGGTCTAGGGTTTAGGGTTTAGGGTTTCGGGTGCAGGGTCTGTGGGGTTAAAGGACTTCCCCCCAAAGTCAGCCGAGGCACCACCTGTGCAGCCCAAGAGGCGCGGCAGGCCGCCGAAGCGAGCCCCTCGAGGTGGGATGAGCCTCTTATGCCAGTCTGCTTTCCCTATGCTGGTTCTGAGTAGGGGAGGTGGGGTCCATACGTAATCCCTTAAAGGGGAAACCGGTATACCGGCATACCGGAGTGGCCATTTCCCAACAACAAGAACTCGAATATGTCCGGCCGGTGGCACCCCGAGGACTCGATGGATTCGAAAGTCCTGTGGAGGTCTTTAGCCCCACAGTGTGCGAGGAGGACGCCTGTGCTCAGGGCATGCAGACCATGCAAAAGAGTTCGCAGTGCCCTCAGGATTTGCTGGCCAAAGATACCATGAAGCACTGGGGAACCGCCCCGAGCCCCGCGGCTTCATAAATCGGAAGCCCATGCTGTGGTAGATCATGGACTACGGTATAGCACGGCATAGTATAGTCGGTTATGGTACCGCAGGTTCGTGGTATTTAGTAGGTCGCCGCCATATTCCCTGAACGACCAAGGGCCTTCGTCCTCAGAGGAGAAGGACGGGATGGACCTGGGAAGGGTCGCACTGCCTTTCAGGGAGCGTTCATATACCAGGGCTTGGGGCTCAGGGAAGGGGCTTGGGGATTTGCCCAGATGCAAAGACAGGGTTTGGGGTTTAGTGTTTAGGCTTGAGCTCCAAAGTGCACAGCTCCAAACACCCTGTCCGAACGGTGCAGGGCCCCACAACCGTCAACAGCCTTGAGCCGTCATCTTCAACCGGTTTAGGGTTTAAGAACGTTCCATCTAAACACAACGCCCTTCCACAGGCAAAGTCTGATTTTTTCGTCGAGCCATTTCGCGTGATAGAGCTTCTGGACATTCTGGACCCTGCCTCCCACTTCCAACACATGCTTTGCATACCCCTCCTTCCCCCGACAGGAATCGCCCTCAAAAGGACCTCCCCCCCCGCCCCCCCGGCCCCCCAACCCACTTGAAAACCACAAACCCTATGAACCCTCCCCCGAGAATCAAGGAGCTCGGGGAGTTGGACGAGGAGGAGATAGCGGAGCCAGGGACAGAAGGAGCTCCCCGACGGTAGGGTTTCAGGGGTTTCAGGGGTTTCAGGGGTTTCAGGGGTTTCAGGCGTTTCAGGGGTTTCAGGGGTTTCAGGGGTTTCAGGGGTTTCAGGGCTTTCAGGGCTTTCAGGGCTTTCAGGAATTTAGGGGGGTTTCAGGGGTTTAGGGGTTTGAGGGGTTTTGGGGTTTTCAGGGTTTCAGGGGGTTTACAGGGCTTTCAGGGCTTTCAGGGCTTTCAGGAATTTAGGGGGGTTTCAGGGGTTTAGAGGTTTGAGGGGTTTTGGGGTTTTCAGGGTTTCAGGGGGTTTAGAGGGGTTTCAGGGTTTTTAGGGTAACTGGCTGTGCTTGCAGCCACACAGCTCCGGCCAAGATCAGGCTTGGATTTTGGCTTTTTATCTTTCTTGCAGGGGGGGGGAGCGCGAAAGGTTTGTTCTAGCCCCTCGCCTTGCCAAGCGTCTTATTGGAATCAAGAGGCTTGCTTCAGGGGGGCAAACTCCGTTCATTGCTTTTGTAAACACTGATCGAACCCAGCGTGCTGCTTGTGTGCCATCCGTAAACCCAGTACGACAAGCACGGTGTTTGGGGGGGCGGGTGAGGGGAGGGCTTGTTCCGTTCATTGTCCGTGCCTACCCTGACCAGACAAGATGGTGATTTTGTGCGTGCTGGCTGTACACCGATGTGAACTCCAGTTATGCGCGCAGTCTGTGCACGTTGACAGACCCGGCTCTGATCCCCTAAACCCCTTGGCCTACTGAAATCCGGAACTTAAAGACCGAAAGCCAAGACTGTAGCACTCCTCGGAACAACCCCCCACGTGTCCCAAACACAACACCCCGAGCAACTCTACAACAACAACAAGCCCAATAAACGAAGAAACGAAATTCAATCCCAGAACCCGCAAAATGAACCAAACAGTGCTCCGGATGTCACTCTTCACCCGCAAGGTGCCTCAAATTGCGCGCTCTCGTGCTGCAAAGGTGGTAGTTGGTAGACGAGGGGGGTGGCTAGCAGCAGCAGAAGTAGTAGTGATTAGGTGCAGCCCAAGCATATCCAAGCCACATCGTGCCATTCGGTTGCGAGGATTCTTCCGACGGGTCTCTCCGAAATCGGAGGCAGCTCGGCTACAGCGAGCGCTGTGCACTTGCACAGACTGCATAGACTTGCAAGATTCCCACACGACCCTAAGCCCTAAACCCTGTCAACTTGAGCTGCTCAGCATGGAAATCATCTGGTCATCGAAGGTTTGAGTGTCAAGTTGACTTGAAGTCCCGAGATATGGGGGTTCCGAGAATAGGGCTACCCTTTGGGGGTTCCTATAGTAAGTATTCTACTATTTTGGTGTATATGAAGTAGCCCGGGAGCTGCATGCTAGATGAAAGCCAGAACTGGGCGCGGCTAGCAGGATCTTACAGGCGAGGGTCACACTGCGGGAACCAGGTCCCCCCAGCAGGAGCCACGTCAGCGACGTAGGATAAGAGTAGCTAGCCCAGTCTGGTTCAAAGACTCGAAGTTCTGAGGCTGCGTCCGCTGATGTGGATGGAGGCCGGCTTTCCCCTTTGTGAGAGTTTGTAACCGTCACTGGCAACCTTCGATAGGCCGGCAGACTTGTCAATCTCGAAAGTCCCCAGATGTACGCAGATGTTCGCAGGGCTTGTGGAGATGCTGCTTCAAGATGAAGCAAGCCCGAGCGCGGACACCCCGGCTCCGTGGTTGAATCACCAGCTGAGCCACCGCAGTGCCACTGTTCGAGTCACGCTGAGTTTGCCGGCTTTGAGTTTGTCGCCGGCCCTGTTAGATGAGGCTGAAGCGACGGCCGCCACCATCGAGATGATCAAGAAGATGGTGGTTCCTCGCACGATTTCGGACCCGTGAGAACTGGCAAGCTGGACTCCCAAATTGAAGCCGCTAGTATCCGCGAGTTGCGCAGCTCAGGGCTTAGTTAGTCTTCAGCGTGCAGCGCCCATAGTCCGCTCTCGCTTCTGCTCTTATGTTCTTGTCTTTTTTTGATCTTTCTCGCAGACTCGCAGAGCCAGCGGGTACCCAGTAGCTGAGGACTTCAAAGGCACCCGCTGTCCATCTGGGCAGCGGAACTATGCCAGGCGAAGACTCGACATTAGCATATATAGAAAGATAACAATATTTAGAAAGAATTAACAAATAGATATGTGTGTATATATATATATATGCATACTGCATACATATTCGTACATGTATATGCGTATTATACTCTCTTGCATCCGAGTCTATGTTTTAGTATGTTCAGACCGTCCAAAATAGCCGATTAGTTGCTGATTGGCTCTCGGGATCCGGGCTCGAGACTCGAGAATCTCACATTACGGCGGGGCCCCAATAGCATCCTCTAAGGGATGACTTTATTCTCGTTCAGGAGCTTCAACGCAAGTTCAGGTTGCGGAAGTAAGTTACTTGATTTCTTGCTGCCCCTATGTGGACAACTTCATTAGGGAGGGAGCCGGAGCGCTGAGTGAAAACTTTTGCCGCCAGGCGTGACGTCTACGGGATGTGGCACGAGCTCTTCCTACAGGCGGCCTACCGCCCCTAAACATCCCTGAGCCCCAATCACCCCTGAGCCCCTACACATTCTCTAAGCCCTGAGCCTGTAGGGGGAGGAGGTCAGATCTTGGCGTCTCCATGGTGTTCCCAGGCCCAGAAGCTGGTTGGGAACAAGATCTGGCGGGGGCAAGCCCGCTGGCTGCACGGGGGTGCAGGATGTTGCAGGGTCGAGCGTCTCTTCCGGGATGTATACAGACATGTGTATATATATATATATGTAATGTATGAGTGTATATAAATACACGCATATATATATATATATGTATATATATATATATATGTGTGTGTGTGTATGTATGCAATGCATGTCAACATACAGGTATGTCTGGTGCCGCATTACCACATACATATATATACATACACATATGTGCATACATGAAGCTGAGCTACGCCATGCTGTTTTCTGTTCATGTGTTTTAAGATTATGAGATCCAAATGATATGAAGGGTTCAGCATGACTAAAAACACTTCCTGAAGAACCACCACAACCAGAAAACCACAACCATCACAAGCTCAACCACCACAGCCGCAACCATAACCATGACAACCACTGCCATGCTGCGTTTCTGTTCATGCATGTTTTCTTGTTGGGGCTAATGTTTGTGTGACTGTTTCTTCATGTGATAGAGTCCGCAGGCGTCATCCGCTCACATTTTCTCTGCGTAGCGCCCGAGGCGCTGCACTACATTGTCGAGCTCATGCAGGAACTCGAGGGAGAGTCCAGCGTCAAGAAGATGAGGACCTTGTACCAAAACGCAACTGGGCTGGGGATACGCGGGATTTGGGGAAGAGGCAGAGGGCGTTGTCTCCATCCAGAGCATGAATGACATGGTAGTCTCGTCAGGGATCTGGAGATTGGACTCCTAAAGGAAGTAGAGGCGCAAGACTACATTCGAGGCCTCCTTCTGGAAAGGGGCTCTGCTGCTTCTGCTCAAGCATCTAGGCGGGTACAGGCATGTTCGAAGCCAGAGAAGTGCGGAAGCCGAGAGGACGTCCAAGAGCCCAATGGCAAATTCTTGAACATCAGCACCCCCGCAATCGTTCTGCCCTGCACCAGGGTGCCCTGTGTCGGAAGTCAACGAGCTGAAGAGGAAGCAGCTTGGCTCTTGAGTCTTGAGCGATCTGGGGTGGTTGCATCGGTTCCCAACGACCTCAGTCCGCTTGAAGCTTCCGAAGCTTGAAGAGGACTCACGCGAACAGGCTGACACCCATTTCATCGACAGGTACCTCCAGAGTATCTCTAGTTCTCAAGAAGTCTCTCATGATGTCAAGTCATCCCCCCCCCCCCCCCCCTCTCGTGATCCTAGGGCCCTAGAGGTACTACCTCCGACAAGGGCGAATCTCGCAGAGGACCCTGCGTCGGCCGGACTTCAAGGAGACCCGCCCTCTCCGCTCTCTCTCTCTCTCTCTTTTACGGTTTAGGGTTTAGGGTTTAGGGTTTAGGGTTTAGGGTAAAGCGCGCGAGTAGACCGAAGACTCGAAGGACCTCAGCGACTACTACGCGAAGTGCCGTGCCCGTGACCCCGCGGGCTTCGAAGTGGATCCGGCAACGCCGCAGCCCCCGCGCCACACAGCAGCAAAAGGATCACCAGAGCTCCCAAGGTTCCCCTGTTCCATGGAGCTCCAAAGGTTCCTCTCTGGTTGCCTCTGGCAGAGTGTGACTTGCAAAGTCCGCCAGGTTTTGTTCACCGTCCGCACAGTGACGAAAGACCCGAAAAAGCTGAGAAATGCTCTGGCGCTGAGAGGCGGCCTGCGGGGGATTTGAGGGGATTTGAGGGGAGTTGCGCTGTTGGCCCGTGCAAGGGATGCCCAGCGTATCGAAGCCACCAGGGGAGTTGACCTTGGGGGGCCTTGGGTGCCCTAAGCTACTGCGCGCTACGCGCAGGAGATCCTGAGGAGGAGGTTTCGTCCCTCCCTCGCTGACGGCCTGCTGCGCAGGCCACGAGCCCACCCGATGCTGTTCTACATCGTCCGGCAGGACAACTCGGCTTACTGCTTCCGGCAACCGGGGTTCATGACGGCGCCTTGGAGGATCGAGGGCATTCCTTGAACGCTTCTTTCGCGGTGCTGAAAAGAAATCTGTCGTTTCTTTGGCTCTTGTGTTGGCATGCAAGGGCTTCAAAACATTCAAGCCAGGGAGTAGCAGGAAACCCTCGACGACCCCATGGCGGTTGAGCAAAAACACAGGTATTGTGACGTCCCAGAGAGAGCGGGAGTGTGAGTAGTATGAGGAAGAGCCTTTCGGGTTGAACTTCCCGGCCTGTGATCAAGGTGCGCCAATGCATTCAGGAAGCCTTCGCGGAGTCGCCCTACGACCCGGAGTGCTGCTTGGTGTTTTTGGGCGTCTCTGAGAAAACACCTTCTCCCAAGTCCCTTCCCTGTCTCGACATTTCTGTGCATGATCAAGCAAGACTTGGCGCGGTTGTTTTTGAGGCACGAGCCCTGATCAGGTTTCTTCTGCCTCCACGAGAATGAGGCTTTGCATCTGGACACCGAGAATCTGGGCAAGGTGAAGCCCTTTCAACCCACTTGGCCCGTGTTCGCCACGGCGACCTCACGTTGGAGCAACAAACTCCCCTCTGGGATGCTCAGAGGTCCAGTATGTTGTGTGTACGGAAGCCGTCGAAAGGCGCCTCACAAGCCGTAGAGCGTCGAGCAGCCGTATGGTGCCCCATAGAATAACGGTGCAGCGTTCCAACCTCTTGCGGAAATGTTTGGATGTCCTCTTCTCCTTCTTCTCAGTGTTTGGGGAGGGTTTGCGAAATGCTGCACCAGGTCGTGGCCACAAGTTCTGCTATTGTAATTGTCGCCCGAAACAGGGAGGCAGATGCCTTGCAACAAGCACCCCCCCTCCCCCCACCCCACCCACGTGAAAACACAAAAAAACCCGCTAGAATCAAGGATTGGCGACATCTCATGGCAGACGAAGGACCGCGAGCCGCGGCTCCTGTACGCACCTCCGGCGCAATCGAATCTGTTGGCTAGGGTTTAGGTTTAGGGTTGAGGGTTTAGCATTGTATTCGAGCGTGAGAGGCAACGGTCCTGGAAAGAGTTCGCGAAACACAATAGCACCACCATGGCTCCAACTGTCCGGTGCTACCTGAACCCCTAAACCCTAAAGCCTGAACCCTGAACAATCCTTTGAAAGGTCTACCTGCGCAACAGGGCGAGGCACCGAGTGAGGGTTGAGTAGGGTCTGGAAGGGGGGGGCCTCCCTCTTTCCTTTTTTGGCTTCTTTGAATACAACGGGCTTCGGAGAGTTGAACCTTAGACTCCTTAAGACCACTTGACCGGCACTCGTGGGGGACGCCCAAGAGAGGGGTCGCGAAGAGTGTTGGAGTCCGCTTGTTCTTCGGGCCTCCCAGAGTGTGAAGCCCACCCTAAACCCTAAACCCTAAACCCTGAACCCTGAACCCTGAACCCTGAGCCCTGAACCCTGAACCCTAAACCCCAAACCCCAAACCCTAAACCCTAAACCCCATACCCTAAACCACTGCTTCTTTGACAGGCAACTGGATCCTGGCGACCAAAGTGCCCTGGCTTGCAGCGCTTCATTTGCCTTGAACTTGAGATGGTTTTGACATCTTTGGAGGCTTCCCAGGGTTTAGGGTTTAGGGTTTATTATTTAGGGTTTAGGGTTTAGGGTTCAGGGTTTAGGGTTCCCATCATGTCCCCAGGCGAGGCCGGTGAGGCCTGTCAGCCTTGACTTCGCCGTGCAGATCGGGACCTGAGGCAGCACAAGCGTGCCCAGCTAAGGGCTGAAGCGTTGTGCAACCCTATAGGAAGATTTTAACCCTAAGTGCCCTAAACTCTAAAAAGATTGCATAACCGTACGGTAAGAGTTTAGAGTCTTAGGCTGAGGGTTTACAGGGTTTAGGGTTCCAGCGAGGCGTCGCAGCCCTGATCCGCGAAGAGCGCCTTTGGGGGGGGGAACAAAAAGTTTTCGAGCCTGCCAGCTTCGGGCTTTTCAGGCCCTGCTGGCGTTTGGGGACGTCTAGGGGGCCCCCTCTTGGGGCTTGAGAGCTGTGTTTTTCCGTAGTTTTCCTGGGCCTGGGACAAGGTCTCGGGGGGATGGCTCCCCCCCCCCTCAGCTCTTCCTTTCCGGCTCAGGTCTTCGCCCCTAGTGTCTATGGCGGCCTATGTCCTATGCGCATTCAGACGCCGCTGTTGCGCGTTGCCCGGGAATTTTAAAGTGCGGAATTCCGAACACACATAGGTTTCAGCAGGGGGCTGCATCTAAAGAGTTCTTGAGAGGAGAAAGTGCGGACCGTAGTTGGCCATGGAGCCGAGTGCCCCCAGCAGCCTCCTTCGCGCCCTAACCACGTGGAATACCTGGGGCGTGCCCTTCGCCTCGCCCCTGCTGTTCCACCGCTTTGGCAAGTGGCGTGCCTTCCATGACCAGCAGCTTCTGAAGTTCCTCGGCGAGGACAGGGGGGACAGGGACTTGCTGGTGTGCTGCTTTCAGGAGGTCTGGAGCTTCCCCCGGGGGCCTCTCATGGAGTGCACGGCCCGCATGGATCCTGACAGGGTCACTGCAAAGTGGGAGCGGTTTGTGCTCATCCTCGGTATCCTCTGCCGTCTCTTCTCTTGCTGCACATGGGATGCGGCTCAGAAGCTCTTTGAGAAGCGGGAGCCCAACGCTTCACGGATTGAGTATGCGGTGGTGGTGGGCAACAAGGGGAAGAGCCTCGCCTGGAATTCCCTGGTGGACTCCGGCCTCTGCATCCTCGCCACCCAAGCGCCCGCAGACACGGGCTTCCGCGCCTACCGAAACTACCCCGACGGGCTCCATGAGGAGCGCCTGGCCAACAAGGGCATGCTCTGGGCCTTCTGGGGCCCTTCCCGAACTTCCCACCAAAGTTCCCAAAGTTCCCAAAGTTCACAACAGGGGCTGCTGGTGCTGAACACGCACTTATCCACCAGGGGTGCGGTCAAGCGGAGGCAGCTCCAGGAACTGGGCTCCCTGACTGCAGAGCTGCGCAGCAGGCTCCTTACATCTGTAGCAGTGCTCGAGGTCTATCTCTGTGGGGACTTCAACCTGGATCCCAAGTGGGACACGGACTTCGAGGCCTGGTACAAGGAGCTTGGCTTCCAGCGCATCACGACAGGCAAGCCGACCAACGCAGGGCAGAACACTGCCCTGGACCACATCTTCGCGTGGCGCTCCGACGACCAGAGCGTGCCTCACCTGGTATCTGAGCCAGTTCGGCCCTGGGTTCAGAAAGGCAGATTCACTACCTGCGCCTGTGAGCGGGATGACATCTCAGATCACTGCTGGCAAGGCATGGCCGTGCCCAGGCAGCCCAAGTAGGGCTGCCCGAAGCTTCTGTCGTGATCAATGAGGGCTCTGTGCTGGCCGCGCTCGCGAGATGCAGACGTGTCCGTGGTGCCAGCTGCTCCGCCGCCCCTGATCCGAAAAACACTTCGGGGATTTCCGAAATCAGAGGTACCTTTATGGGGCGCTTTTTTTTTACGGGGATGCTGGTATTGGGGTCTATTCGGGGTCCCCGATGATCGCAAACCCCCCATATGAATAGTTTACGCAAATCGACTCCGATGGGACGAGGGGACCATCTGCTCTCTTCTGGCTGGTTCTTAGTCGGGAATTTGGCACCCTATAATCATCTATAATCCCTGAAAGGGTATCGGGCCCTAATTTTTCTCATTCTCTACTAAGAATCAGGGGGTCTTCCAAGCGTTCCTGGCTCCAGTTGATATGCAAGGAAATGAGCTGCGAAGCACATCAGCAATCCGTGATGGACGTAGGTCATTTGCGTGTTTACTCTTTCAGTAATGAGTCAGATCTATCAGTGCATCGTTGCAGTTAAGCGTTTCTTCCACATGCAGTCTCATCATTCCAAACCCGTAAACCCTAAACCCTAAACCCTGAACCCTGAACCCTGAAGCCGAAGCCTGCTGTGCTCTTGTGGTGTGCCGCCATGGCGGCCGCAGAGAGACGGCCGATGCCCTTGCAGGTAGGAGCCTTGCTGAGCTTAGAGTTTAGGGTTCAGGGTTTAGGGTTTCGGGTTCAGCATCTCAAGTTCAAGCATTCACTAGTATAAGGTTTTTACTCCGGTATCGAATATCGACCCACCCACCCATTGGATCCCATGACATCATGAAAACATGTTACTTCTCGTTTTGACCCAATATGTGTCGTCCCGGGGCACCCCCGGGACGGGTTGTCCGGGGCCCGGTCGGGACGGGTTGTCGGGAACGGGTTGTCCCCGGTGCTTGTCCACGAATTGTTGGCGCTTGTCCGCGACTTGTTGGCGCAAAACCGCGAAGCCATCCGCCGATAAATGTACATAGGTCAGATAGGGTTTAGGGTTTGGGGTTTAGCGTTTTAATCAGGGTTTCGGTCATTTCTCAAAGTTGTGTAAGAGCCCGGTGTGCAATGCGGACCCCAAAAGGGACCATATTTCCGAGAAGTGATTATATGTAGTTTAGAGTTTACAGGGTTCATGCAGGGTTTATCCAGGGTTCATATAGGTTTTAGATGGGGTTTATATAGGGTTTATCGTTTATACAGGGTTTATCACAGGGTTTGCACAAGGCACACATGGGGTTTGTATAGGGTTTATTGAATTTTCTGAATATTGACAGGGCCTACGTCCAACATCCAGCACCGAAGGTGGCAATGGCCGTCCTTGCGAAGCCACAGCCGCGCGAAGCTTCTGATGCTGAGGTGCGGGGTTTAGGGTACATAGGGTTTAGGGTTTAGAGGCAGTTGAAGCTCCCCACCCAAACGGGTGTTGTTGAACATGAGGGTCCCTCTCAGGAGTGAGGGTCTATGGGTTGAGGGCTGTGGATTTCAGATTTAGGGTTCGTCTCCACAATCTTAGAACCTCCGCCAGGAGGGGCTGGTGTCTTCTCTACTCCATCATGGCCGATACGTCTTGAAGAGCCCAGAGCATAATACCCCACCCCCTGGCATGATCTGATGTTTAGAATGCCCCCCCCCCCCCGCCCCAAAAAAAGCAATAAAACCAAGATATATATATATATATATAAACAGGCTGCCTCCGCCTCCCTCCCCCCCCCCCCCCCAGAGGCTTTGGTTCACGACCAGCTCTCCGGCGCTGCAGGAAGTGCCCCAGCAGCAAGTACATATTTGTGGTCTCTCTCTCTATATGATGCATTCTCTCTCTATATGATGCATATATATATATATATATTTATTTGTGCATATATATATGTATGTCTACATATATATATATGTATAAGTTTATACATATATATATATATATATATTTTTATACGTATACTCATTCGCTCCTTCATTTTTATCTAGCAGTCTGGTACGCATGTACACGCTTCTTCCTCTTTGTTTTCATGCAAGAGAAACAGTGGTCATCATGTCATCTCAAGGCTGTCGAGTTTTGGAGGAAGCTGCCATGAGCTTTGCGGTTCTGTGTCCGTGCTGAGGCGGCGAGAGCATGAGCTCCTTGACAGAGCGATACGAGGCGCCTCGAACTCATCGTTAAAAGAAGAGCTCGCGAGGTGGTGCTGTCCGTGCTAGAGTTGCTAGAGCCATGGACATGCGAGTTTCCCACGTGCCTCTCCGAGTAGCCTTGATCGTGTGGTGCAGGAGTCTACAAGCTTGCTTAGCGGACCTCGAGCTATTCCGGACCCTGTGAGCAGTCGTGGGCCTGAGTTTTAGGGGCGGCAGTTGAAGATCTTTAGGTTCCAAGAATCTAGGACCACCGATGACCCTCTGAATCATGCGCCGGATGTGGCACCAAGATGTTAAACGAGAAACGCTCGCTTTCGCTTCTCCGTACCCGCCAAACTCGAGGCCACCTATCAACCCAAAGTCATCCAAAGCCACTGAGCTGATAAATCTGGGAGGACTTGGACGATCTGTTGTCCGCTCGGAGCTGAGCATAGAGAGAGCACTCCACGCCCGAAGGGGGTGAGCCGCTGACCATGCTGTCCCGTGCGAAGCCCGAAGCCTCATGCCGGCACGTGCTGGATGTTCTCGCATCGGTGTTTCCGTGCTTTTCCCCGCCTGACTGTTCTCAGGATGCAGCCCCTGACAGTGCTGAGACAAGGCCAAGTGGATGGGGTGGGCTGGGGCGTGCATCGCAACAGGCTCCATGTCCTTGAAGAAGGAGGTGCTATCAGCACGGCCCACTGTAGCCTGGTCACTGAAGCCCGTCAGCTCGACCTAACACTCTTTCATTCTGCGACCATCGTCATCATCCTCTCATTTGTCATGATCAGCAGGATTAAAGAAAGTATGTCCAGGTCCATTATGCCCCTTGTGGTGGCCATGGCCGTCCTCAGGCCCTCGGTGAAGCCATTCATGTGAGTCCTTTGACTTCGCCTGGCAACTGAGCATGCGCGGTAGGCAAGTGGTTCTCCTTTAAATGAGGCACATGCATGGTTTCAACATCGGAGTGGCAGTGTCGAGCATGGCTGCATGCTGCGTGGCCAGCTGTTGCGTGTGTCTGCTGAGCAAAATGAGTATGCAGACTCATTCTGTTGGCGAGTCGAGTCATTCGGCGTGTTCTAGCTCGGTTTGCGGCACTGATCTGAACGACCCGAAGAGGTTACGTGAGTCACTTGCGCCATCAGCAGAAAATTAGGCCTAGAAACCGCCTGTCGTCCCCTCCAACACATCCCAAGCAGCCAACACCATGACTTGCGTGCAGTCGTGCTGAAGCCGTCCGCAAGCGCCGTACCGCGCGCCGTGCTGCACTTGGTGGAGCATAGGCGCGGTGCTCTCGGAGATTTCTTCGGGTGTCTCTCTATTACCTTGTTTCTGGTCCTTGCTGGAAGATGCGTTGGATTTTGCTGCAGGCTATTTGGCGCAATCCTTTCAATCCTCTCGTGACTGTTAACTTGTGACCATGGCAGCTCAAAATCGGTGGACGCTTTGCCTTGAACAGGCAATTGGAGCTCCAAATGAGAGGAAGCTTTGCGAGTCCGTGGACCAAGGTAGCATGGAAAGGATACGTGTAGGAGGGTTTTTTGTGTAAGGGTCTATATCCTATAGGGTTTAGGGTACAAGCATGGGACAGCAAGTCAGCACGTTCCCGCCTCGAAACCTCCAGCAAGTTTTCGTAACTTTTGATTCACCTACTGAACGTGTCAGAGTTCTCATCGGCTAACAGGTACTGCTTGTGCGCAGACGCAGACGGCACTAAGTAACCTAGCATTTGGCCTGCTAGTTGTCAATCTTTGCTGCTTGCTAAATGCTTCTTTGGAAAGTCTGTACAGTCTGCACTTTCGGAGCCCCTACTGGTAGCTTGTTACATGCACGTGACGGCGGGCTCTGCAAGCTAAAGCAGCTGCTTCTGTCCTCCTCACGGGTGAACTGTGAGGAGGTGCTTTGAAGCGCGCCGGGCGATCTTTATTCTGAATTCCCAAGCCCAACAAGAGCCGTGACCACTGAACAAGTGGCACGAGAAAACATCACGGAGAGAACGGACAGATGGCCCGGCGGAGTCTCCTCCTTTCATGCTGCCTTCTGAAGAAGCCAGCTGCTACTTCCCAACATTCAAAAGGACGGTTTCTGCAGGTTTGGCGGCGGCTTGGAAGGTTGAGAAGGTTGAGCAAATCTCTAATCCTACAATGACCTAGCAGAATCTAGCCATTCACCCAAGATTCTGTTGGCAAATCGCGGAAGGCAGCGGGGTACAGAGCTCAGCACCATCGGCTGGGGCAGTGGGCGCATGGGCCTTCGGGCCCGATCCCCGCCTGGGGAGCTGCGAGAACAGTTGTTGGCTTAGGAGCTTTTGATGAAGGGATGTTATGTGGAAATGTTGGGATGTGTGGGTGTTTGTAGCGCCTTGCAGGCACCTTGGAGGAAGCTCCGAAGTTGATTGAAAGCTCGATTCGTTCCCTAAAAAGTCAGATGTGCTCTCACTGCCACGGCCTTGACCATCTTTGCAACAGGCAGTGGTGCGATGGGGATGGGGTCCCAGACTGGATCCGGAAACTGCTACCAGTGCCCACTCACCGCTTTCTTGTCGCTAGGGATGACTCTTCTGGGGCCCCCTCTGACATATTTTCCTAGCGGGGCCTGAGGATCCCCCGCGTAGCAGTTGACGCACGCCGTCTCAGTGACCTGGGCTGTCACAAGATCATACAAGATCCCGACAGCCCTGGCCGTCACACCTGTTCCAACCCAAATTCGCTTGCCATCCATTTGCTATGGCAAGCAGCGCATGGAAGGCTGGGGGGCCCCCGCCCCTCTTTCAAGGTTTAGACGTTTCCGTTGTCTTGCCGCTACTGTACCTCTTGATCGTTTGGGAGCTTGGATCCCTAAGCCCTGGGTTGATTCCAAGGGGTAGTGGTAGTGATGGTGGTGGTAGTAGTGGTGGTAGTAGTGGTAGTAGTGGAAGTAGTGGACTATTACTACTACGACTACCACTGCTATATACTACTTCTGCTACTACTTCTGCTACTGCTTCTGCTACTGCTTCTGCTACTGCTTCTGCTACTGCTACTTGTTACGATACTACTGACCGTTACTACGATTGATATCTCGACGATGATGGTGATGACAACTACTATCATCACTATTGTTGAGGCTCGAGGGGCTTCCTGGTTGCGGTGCAAATGCCTGTTTTTCGTTTGCCACAGCTGCTGTGGAAAACCGGTTGGCCGGATGCTTAAGTGGAGATACTCCGGGTTTGGGGTAAGCAGCCAATCTGCTTACGTGTCGCATGCGTAGGCGCCTGGAAGATGAATTTTGAAAATCGCTGCCAGCAAGTAGCAGGTTCTTGGCCGGGTTTTCTTAAAGCAGCTTTGATGGCAGTCCGCGGGGGTGTACAGCTCACAGCAGCCAGTCGCGCGTGGAGCCGCAAGCCTAGATCTCAGCATTGTTGGACGTGCGCAGTGCAGCTGTGACAGAGCCAGTGCATGCCGAAGGGGTTACAGGCCAACCGCACCGCATCGAGATTCATTGCATTGTAAGCTGGACGTCGGGTGTGAGAAAGAATGCTTGGGTAGTGCTTTCCTGTAGCCTGTAGCTGGCAATGCCAAACCCTAAACCCTAAACCCTAAACCCTAGACCCTAGACCCTAAACCCCAAACCCTAAACCCTAAACCCCAACCCCTAAACCCTAAGCTGCCGTCTTTTGAGCCATCGATGCGGTGAATGGTTGCACCCTGACCCCTCGGAGACGGGGACGGAAGGAGGGATGGGCGAATCAGGTACCCACACCAATCAATAAACGCGAAAACAACAAGAACCAGATGGGGTTTTCCGAAATTCGGGGTACCTGACCGGGGTCCTCATTGTAGGGGAATCCTACTATCTGGGGCTCTTTTTGCGGGGCCCGCTATTTTCGTAAACCCCCATGTTAGGCATCTACGCTACTTGACATACTCGACAAGGTAATGGTCCAAATGAAACGAAGTTTGGTCCACTGTCGACCCAAATGACAAGTGAAAACACATGAAGCTCAACAACTGTCGCGTTACGAACTTGAGTTATAGACGATGGTGCTATGGTTCAAGATGCAGAGAGCACATGTAGCCCCCCCCCCCCCCACCCCCAAACCCCAAACCCCAAACCCTAAACCCTAAAGCCTAAACCCTAAACCCTAAACCCCAAACCCCAAACCCTCAACCCCTTCTGTCTTCTGATGCTGTGCAGTTCCGGGAGTTGCTGGCAGGATCGATTGTCAAACGTCTGCCTCGGCGGTCGCTCAGAACCCAATATCCTAGCCGGGAGGGAGTGTCTATAGCCCCCTTGGGTTTTTGTTTCATGTTATCAAACCCAAGGGAATATTACAGATAGTGTTTTAAGATTCTAAGGGGAGTATAGTTCTAGAGCCTACAGCGAAGGAAGGGAAGGCACGGGAAGACAGCAGCTAGTTGCATATCTTTTTGGACAAGGTTTTCCAATGCTTGCCCTGGCCCGTATCAGGTTTGCTTTGGCGGATCTGGCCGATACAGCTGTGCTCCCCAGTGCTTCTTAATTTATCCTTTCCCTTCGTTGCTCTCGAACTTAACGGCAAGAGGAGCCACAGGAAGCATCTAGCAGTTCCGGACGGAGCTTCCAGAATGAAGCATGGTTTAAGACTCTTTTATCTGCTGTTTGCTTATAAGAACCCCAAAAAGAATAAAAGATGAGAATCCCTATATTGCCCTCAATTAGGGATTGATTTTCATTTTCTCGGGGTTCTTCAGCAATTCGTACTTAAGGCTGAGTATCATAGCCGGTGCCAGCGTCTCCAAACCTCGAATTCACACTTCTTGGAAGCGACCTCGTCGCAGCAAGTCTTCCTGCAATGCCCCAACGTGCCGGAGTAGGCCCGCGCCCCCGCGACACGCACTATAAGCCCTCGAGGAGCTACGTAGGAATCGCACGATGACCGCGCTTTTCCGCGCATAGGGGCATGCCAGTTTCATTCACGCTCGGCTCGGCCCTCATGCCAGGGAGAAATGGACCGGGTGTTTGTTTGTTTGTTTGTTTGCTTGCTTGTTTGTTTGCTTGTTTGTTTGTTTTGTTTTGTTTTGTTTTGTTTTGTTTGTTTGTTTGTTTGTTTGTTTGTTTGTTTATGCAGAGTATACATATTGCTTAGGGATGATGAGGGGATGTTGATTGGTGATTGTTTCAGGTTGCCGGTGTTGTTTGGCATGGGTGCAGATTCAGATGGAGTGCAGTTCATGTCATGTCAATTTGTTGTTTCTTCAGCTGAACGTGTCAGCTTTGCCCATTTTTGTAACGCCACTTGCATGCTCAGGAACTGGAAAGCGTGTCGCGGAGTCAAGGGTAATTCTAGTGATAGCAAGACAGTCAGGTTTCAAGAGTCGACTCGGGCAGTAAGTGTCATCCTCATCTGCTTTTGCGGTGTCCGGTTCGCAGAACAAGGGTCTTGTTGCTGTGCCATGTTTCAATATGTTTCATGTAGAGCGCTGCAGTGTGGACGCGACGACCCTTGCAGCGCTTCAAGCAGCAAGGCGCCTTGGCGCATGTGCCCAACTGCTTGTCATGTACCAGCCAACCCTACCCAGCAATGGCAGCACCACACCGTACCATGCTCCAGCATGCACAAACCCGTCGGTATCAGGGACAGTCCTGCAGAAAATCCCTGGCACGTGGATGCCGCACCAAGCCCTGACAGCCCCGGAATTGGGAAGCTGAGACGCCGCAAAGGACCGTAAGTGGCGATTGCCGTGCGCAAGTAAGCTCCGGCCATGGGTTCGTACGACTTCTACACCTTGGTGACGTGCCTTGGAATGAGCTGCCCATGCGCATGCCCATACGGGAGAAACCCCGCCATCCCCCTTTCGAACTAAAGCTCCCCGCAGGCCCCGGGAACTTTACAATGGCAGGGGATCCCGAACAAAGGGACCCTCATTCAGCACAACACCTAGAATGAAACGCTGGTTGATCATGGGATCGGGGCTTCTCATGTTAGGGGGAGCAGAGGGTTTCAGCTTGTTCAAAAAGAATACGTCAACATACCCCAAAACCGGACCCCTTAACCTCAATGCTTGCAGGACTTGACCATCCCCCCTTCATTTCTCTCAAGGGTATGCCCACGGTGTATGTTGAGTTTTTAGCATCCCGGGGGGTGTGGTTCAGGTTTGTAGGGCCAGCAGCCCCCCCTCCCCCCTCCCCCCGGCAAGGTGCCTGTTGATTCTGGCACTGCAGATTCACAACCCGTTCCAGGAGCGGACGCTCCTTGGATGGACAACAGTACCTCGTTCCCTGGTACCTCCCAGCGTCAGACATGTCCGGGGCGACCCAACCTGTGTCGCAGGAAAGCCCAAAGGGGTTGAGGTGGTTTAGGGTTTATGTCCCAAATATATACCTCTTACGGGTACTTCATTCGGAATCCCCCCCCAACCTGAAACCGCGCGAAATTGGCCGAGGTGTCGTGAACCGACTCCCAGGCGCGTTCCTGGTTTTGAGTATGAGAGCCTCAATTCAAGATTCATCCGCATCGTTCCGTGTCCAGAATATAGCTTCGCGGGCCGCAAGAAGCCCCAGTTTTGGCAAAGGAAGAGCCCAGCCCGACTGAAATTCTGAAGATCACCATGTCGAGACATCACCGCATCCGCCGGCGAACGCGTAGTATCTTGCAAGGGTGGGATGGCAAGTTCGGACTCTTCAATGATGTCTTAGCATACCAAAAGGGGGGTTTACAACATTCGGGGTACCTTGTGGTCCTTATTCTAAGGGAATCCTACTTTCTGGGGGACGATATTAGGGGTCCCCCTATTTCCGTAAACCCCCATATCATGACGAGGCCGCCTTGCCACGCTGGGAGTCCTTTTGCTGACCAACACCACTTTGTTGTCGAAGCAGTTGTCCTGAATTTGCCTTATGTGGCACGACTTCGCTTTGGACCCGCTCTTAAGATGCAAGGTATGAAGCGCCAAAACGACTTGAACAGTTGTTCCACAAACGCAATTTCTGCATTTTCAATTTCTGGGTTCGGCGTTTAGCCCGAAACCCTAAACTTTACCTCCCCCCTGTAAACCCTAACCCCTAAACCCTAAACCCCCCATCCCCCCCCACCCCCGAGAGGCCGCAGGAGCCTGCGGAAGCAGGCGCCCAGCTCGGAAGTTGCTGAAGCAGACCTTGAGTTGTGGAGGAAGTTAGCAGGGTTTAGAGTCCAGGGTTCAGGGTTTAGGGGTCGAGTCAGTAGCCTTGACGGGCAGTACACTGTTTGTTTGTTTGTTTGTTTATTGTTTTTTGGGGAGGGGGGGTGGGGGTAGAATTGTATGGTTTGTCTTGGTCCCTATTCCCTGAGTTCGGGCGCCTCTTGGCATCCTCTGTTTTCATAGAACAACCCCCCCTAAGCCCGGAGCCTTCTAGACCCCAGGTCCGAGAAGCACCGCAACTTCGCATCACCCAGAAACCCAAGTGCCAGACTCTCCAAATCTCAACCCCCTTAAGCTCTACATAAACCCTAAACCCCCTCTCTTTCCTTTCCCAAAAGAACTGGAACAAGAAGGGCCCTCACCCTAAAGCCTATGCTCTGAACCGCACTGGATCTTCGGGGGGGACTCCCATTGTCTGGTGTTTTCATCCGGCGGTTCGGGGTGTAGGGTTTATGGTTGGTGTTCCGAAACAAGGGGTACCTTTCCCAGAATAAAGATTATGTGCCCCAATATGGGGGGTTGTTTTTGTGTTCCTGCAAGGTGTTTTGGGTCGGGTTTTGGGTCAGGAGTTCCGAGGGGGTGTTCAACCCTATGGTTGTGCGCTTTGCCCCCCCCCCCCCCCCCCCCCCCATAGTATCCCCCCCCCCCCCCCCAAGGGAAACCCTAACCCCACGCAAAACCCTAAACCCTAAACCCTAAACCCTAAACCCTAAACCCTAAAACCCAAAACTAAACCCTAAACCCTAAACCCTAAACCCTAAACCCTAAACCCTAAACCCTACCCTCAACCCTCAACCCGAAACCCTAAACCCTAAACCCTAAACAACCACCCAGAACCACCCCACAGGGGGGGGGGGGGGGTAGGCGATTTTTTGTTTCTTTTTTGGGGGGTGGGGTGGGGTGGGCCGCGCAACCTTTTATGGTTGCGCCCCGGCTGGCCCCCCCCCCCCCCCCCCCAAAAAAAGAAAGAAGGTTTACTGCCTACCCCCCCCCCCCCCCCGCCTCCTCCCCCTGTGGGGTGGTTCTGGGTTGGTTTTCGGGTTTGAGGGGGGATACCATGGGGGGGGGGGGAGGGGGGCGCAGAACGCACAGCGCACAACCATATATAGCGTTTTTTGGGTCGGTTTTGGGGTTGAGGGGCCGGGTTTGGGGGTTTTGAGGGGCCCGCCGCGCGATTTGAGAATCCAAGAACCCGCTACCCGAATCACTCGAAGAGCACAAAGCCGATCGCTGCTGTGAGCTTTCATGTCTGGGTCCTCCAGTCATTACCATGCATGAAAGATCCTCGTTCGGGTCCCTGCCAGAAGAAAGTCTCGGGAAAGGCGCAACCATTTGGTGAACGGACCATCTCTCCCTCTCTTTGTCTGTGCTTGTCTCTGTCAGTCTCTCCCTCTGTCTCTCTCTCCCTCTCTGTCTCTCTCTCTCTCTCTACTAAGCCTTAAACTTAAACACTAAGTCCTTACTCCTCTTATTCCTCCCTCTCCCTCTCTCCCTCTCTCTCTCTCTCTGTCTCACTCTCTCTCTCTCTCTCGCTCTCTCTCTCTCTCTCTCTCTCTCTCTCTCTCTGTGCGATGACTGTAAAGGTGCGGTGCCGTCTGCGCCAACTCGCCGGCCCCGTGAGGTTCGGGGCACGGAGGGCTTCAGCAGCGCCTTTTGAGTTTTCAGATACGTGTTTCAGGGTTTAGGGTTAAAAAGGGTGCCCTTGTCCCTTTTTGCGGTCCTTTTTCCTTGGTATGCCGCTACTTGGAGAGGGTGCTGGGTGGCTCTGGTAGTTGAGGCTTCTGGGCCAGAGCGCCCTGACCCACCTTCAGCTGTCAGTATGCCCACGGAGCCTCATCCTGACCGAGGTGGCCGCAGCGGCATCCTCTCCTGGGCTCTCCACAGATGCCCTGCTGCGGGAGTCGCCACCTGAGATCCACCGCCTTACAATCGCTTCGAATTCCCCCCCCCCCCCCCCCAAGATGTGAATTTCAGCCCTTGCCCCCTCCCCCCAAAGCCCGAAACTTGCCAAGGCGCTGGTTGGGCTTTGGGAAAACCCAGACGGTCACACTGTTATCTTCTGCTCCTGCCCTTCTTCTGGTTCCCTTTGGTCGCTTGTAGTGTAGTATTATAAAGTTGTTTTGGATGCATGAGCTCTGCATTTCAGGGTAAAAACTTGTGCCTTGTCGGTGGGAATCTGCCGGCGCTTTAAACCGCAGAGGTTTGACATGCGCATTTGTTAAAGGGGGCTTGGGGGATGGGAGCCTTGAAGATGGAATTGTGGCCCCTAAACCCTGAAACCTGAAACCCTAAACCCTAAACCCTAAACCCTAAACCCTAAACCCTAAACCCTAAACCCTAAACCCTAAACCCTAAACCTTGGCCTTTTGGAAGCCCTAAGAGACCCCGAAGCTCGGGCTGCGGAGGTTGGACTCCCTTCAAGACAAGGCCAAAGAGCAGCAGGAGTGCCAGCAAAAGTTAGGGTTTCAGGGCTTTAGGGCTTTAGGGTTTAGGGTTTAGGTTTAGGGTTTAGGGTTTAGGTTTTAGGGTTTAGGGTTTAGGGTTTCGGGTTTCGGGGATGGGCGTAGAGACCTCGGCTTGAATACCAGCTCCGAGTAGCAAGTTGTAAGTCGTCAAGCGCATTCGGCAACAAGGGTCGCTGCCCTGACCCGGTCAGGAGGTCGCAACTGACGATGGCATGATGATGATGATGATGGTGGTGGTGGTGATGATGATGATGCTGATGCTGATGCTGATGCTGCTGCTGCTGCTGCTGATGATGATGATGATGATGATGATGCATGAGGGTAACGCTGTGATGCTGGTGATGCTGGTGGCCGTGGCGATCGTGGTGGTCATCGTAGTGGCAATCATGGCGGTAATGATGGTGGCGATGCTGATGTGAATGCTGATGCGGATGCTGATGCTGCGGACAACAATGACGATGCCGACGACGGTGATGATGATGATAATGATGATGATGATGATGATGATGGCAACGGCGTCCTAAACTAACCCTGCACCCTGAACCCTAAACCTCACACACGCACCCCTTGAAGAAGGAGACCCTGGCGGCGGCTGGGCGCATGCCTCCACCCAGCCCCATCCTCCAACACCTCAAGGAGACCGAGGCGCCTCGGAATTCGAAGGATGCGTTTTGGTTTGAGCAGGGGTCCCTTTTGGTTTAGGGCAAATGGGGGTTTAGGGTTGAGAGCTCAGAGATGTGAGGAGGGTTTTTCAGGGCGTTTAGGGTTGGCCGCCCGGTTTGCCTGTGGCGCTGAGGACTGTTTCGCTTTGGTTTTGGGGGATATATCCCTTATTGCGGTTTTAGGATTTCGCTTTGAGTCTGTGAGACCTGAAAAGATTGGCGGGGGGCTCGTAGGCAGATCTCGCCAGTAGAGATGATGCGGTGGTTTCGGCTGTTAGGGGACCCCAGAGGATCCTCTGCCTCGCACCTGGGCAGCCGTTTTTGCTGTCACGGTCCTTGTCCTTAAAGTCTTGTTCTCATGACTATTCTTGGTGTTGCTATTCTCATTATCATTATTAGTACACTGCTGAACACAATGAATACAAATACCATAGTAAAGCTTCATCCTTGGTCTTTCAAGCTGGTTCACCTTCAATCCTTGCACTCCTTTGGGCAGGCAGCGATGCCTCCACAGGTGCAGGCGCAGCTCCATAACATGGTGGCGAGTTCACGGTTGGGGTGCAGGAATTGGCAGCTGAGTCATTGCAGTTGCTTTAAGCCTACAGCTGTACCACGAAACACCAGCACCGCGATTTTGGTCCCATACTCGAAGAGGTGCCGCCGCGAGCGGCCCCTCAGCCAATGCCACAGGCTCCCAGCTGTCCGTCTGCAGAAGTCTATGACATGTAACAGTCTTCTGGCAGTGTTTACGAGAGCCTTGCAGTCTTACAAGGGGGTCGGGGGACCTGCGCTAACATGGATTGCATGGCAGGCTTGGCGGCTAGGCTCTGACAAATCCATCGCTCCACGATGTAAGCGATATATTTCAGACGAGGTCTTACATGTGGCACATGCAATGCGCACGCAACGAGGCAGGTCATGGCGGGGAGTTCCTGGTAGTGCTTGCTCGAGCTGTTGTAAGGGCCCTGGCCATGGGCCATTGTGAACATGTCCACAACACAGACGACGGCCGCCACTTTCAACAGTCCTCGCAGGCGGAATCAGGTTTTTTGGCAGATGGGAGTTGCATGCCGCCGCCCATTTAGAAATTATTTAGAGGCAGAGATTCTCATCCGAACGTCGATGTCAGGTGCGCTCTGAAACATTTGGTTCTTAACGCTGCGTCACGTCAAAAGCTGTGTGCTCGACGTCGACGTCGCTGTCTTGCATGCCTTTCACTATGACTTTAGTGCGCAGCCCAAGATTTCAAACAATATGGCAAAGCTGATGTTTCAGCACCTTAACTTATTGGGGTCCTTATAAAAAGGCGAATCCTACTATGTGGGGGTATATCTTAAGGGTCCCTCATTTTCGGAAACCCCCGAATGAGGTGCAACACTGGAGAGCTGAGTCCAACTCGTCGCCTGCGAGGCCCAGGTACCTCCAGGACTGTCGGCCGCTCCTGCGCCGCAGGCGCTGGGGAGGGCGAGGGGGGGAGGGGGGGGGGGTGGAATATGTGTATACATAATCATAGTGAGCATACATAATCATCGTAGTCGTATTTATTAAGTATAACAACAAGGACAGCTACATACATGTTTATATATCATACACATATACAGATGCATATACACGTATATATATATATGTTTATATGTATGCAGGTAGATAATGAAGTAAATCAGTTTGATTGTCATTGTTTTTATTCTTATTGGTATTGTTTCTTGCTGTTATTTGCACCCTCACTAATTTTACTAGTATTGTGTTCTTCCTCTTCTCTCTTTATCATGGTTGTTGTGGTGGTGGTTCGGACTTTATATATATACACACATGCCAAAGGACCTGATACTGTGAACAGTGTTGACTTAACCAAAAAATCTTAGCCAATGAATCCAACATTCAGTCGAGGAGGTTCAAGCTGACAGGACGGCTTGCCGTAGATGAACTGCCCCCAACTTTCTGAGAAGCGTTTGGGGGGGGCAGAGATCATCCTGAACCTGACCAAGCCCCACCAAACCCTCTATCAAAGCTGTCGGTCTGAAATGGTCTGAAGCCAAAACCTAGTTCCGACTACCAGGAGCCCCCCCGAAACCCTACACCCGAAACCCGAAACCCTAAACGCCCAACCCCCCCCCCCCCCCCCCCCCCAGAGAAAACAACCCACAACCCGAAACCTCACAAAGCGCGGGCAAGAGCCGAGGGCGCAGGGGTCTTGGTGCGGCGGCGGGAGGAGCTCGGCCAGGTGCTGCAGGCTTCGCCTCCTTTCCCTTCTTTTCCGGGTTTGGGTTTAGGGAATTTATAGGGTTTAGGGTTTAGGGTTTTGTGTCTGTCTGTGTGTGTGTGTGTGTGTGTGTGTGTGTGTGTGTGTGTGTGTGTGTGTGTGTGTGTGTGTGTGTGTGTGTGTGTGTGTGTGTGTGTGTGTGTGTGTGTGTGTGTGTGTGTGTGTGTGTGTGTGTGTGTGTGTGTGGGTGCGTGCGTGCGTGCGTGCGTGCGTGCGTGCGTGCGTGCGTGCGTGCGTGCGTGCGTGCGTGCGTGCGTGCGTGCGTGCGTGCGTGCGTGCGTGCGTGCGTGCGTGCGTGCGTGCGTGCGTGCGTGCGTGCGTGCGTGCGTGCGTGCGTGCGTGCGTGCGTGCGTGCGTGCGTGCGTGCGTGCGTGCGTGCGTGCGTGCGTGCGTGCGTGCGTGCGTGCGTGCGTGCGTGCGTGCGTGCGTGCGTGCGTGCGTGCGTGCGTGCGTGCGTGCGTGCGTGCGTGCGTGCGTGCGTGCGTGCGTGCGTGCGTGCGTGCGTGCGCGTGCGTGCGTGCGTGCGTGCGTGGGTGGGTGGGTGGGTGGGTGGGTGGGTGGGTGGCTGTGTGTGTGTGTGTGTGTGTGTGTGTGTGTGTGTGTGTGTGTGTGTGTGTGTGTGTGTGTGTGTGTGTGTGTGTGTGTGTGTGTGTGTGTGTTTTTTTTGGGTTTAGGGATTCTGTTCTTCGAGAGGTTGGGATGGTGTAGCTTCGGGTACCCCCAAGGGCTCATCATTTAGAAGAGCCTCCACTATAGGGTTGGGGGCTCTGTTGTTTGAGTCGGTTGATGAAAAGCGTCGACCTGCAACACCACTCAGAGCCAAAACCTGACCTCGTGAAACGTTTTGCTCTCCAGGCCCAAATGCCCAGGGGTCTGGGAGTTCCGAGCTCAGCTCCCACCCATCATCTCAAGCCACACAGGGAGAACTGCCACATCTTATCACGTTCTCCGAGAGTCTCTCGGCACTCGGAACTTGGGGGGAATTTCGGGGAATGCTGCACGCCAAGGTCCTCCTCGGCGTGGGGCGCGGCGATTTCGCGGTACGCTTGCTGCGGGACTGGACGTCGTCGCATGGCCTGTGCCCCCACTGGTTTCACTGTGCCCCACGGATTATACTCGAAGGTGCAAAAGAGCTTCGCTCGACAAGATAGGCGCCTTCGTGTTCAGGTACCTGGTGGATCCATACATCCACCAGTGGCGTGGCTACGATGACCCGGCGAACCTGCAGGACAACGACCACCAGCTGATCTTTGAGGACCCCTTCTGGGCTTGCCACACACCTTGTGCGGCATGTCACTGCAAGCGTCTGTGGGCCACTGTGGACAAATGAAGGCCTGTACAGCACCGATTCGCTCAGGATCTTCGCAATCGCCTGGAGCCCTTTGAGCCTTGGCAAGGAGACGTTCACAAGACCATGGTTTTGCGCATGTAAGCCGAGTTCACATGGCTAGTGCCAGCTGAGGAAGGCCGCTATGTTCTGGCCCCGCCGTCCGATTTTCACATATATTATACATTATATATATTATACATTATATATATATATATGTATATATATATATGTTTATGTACGCTGATGAGCCACTCTAATGATTCTAGTGTCTCGTTGGGGCCATTCTCTTGACGGTGACAGCTGCGTTTCAACCTCTGCACCTCATCGGACCTCATCGCAAGCCTTCATGCTTGAAGGGGCGTCCCATTGCTGGCCCGGTCGTCACATACGCGCAAAGCAGGCAACTTGCCTCCTGCAACCAAAACAGAAGATTACCATCGCACTGCGCATAAGCAGCTCAGAGGATCTGCGTGAGCCCCTGCATTGCAGAGCAGTGGGGCAGCGGTTGCGTTCACTTGCGCGGCCAGGTGCGCGACTTCTCATACTCCTTCGCGGAGGCGGGTCCAAGAAAGTGTGCAAGTCCGTGCACTGTTACCAAGCAAGGTGTTTGGTAGAGTCCACTAAGTGAGTCGCATTGGTAATCCGGGGTACAGGCATTGAGGCTGACAGGTTTGTACAAGGCGCCGTTGCGTTGCTGTGAGGTTTACAAGCGCGGGGATCAGACGCCAGCTGTTGCCACGCCAGAGCCCAGCTCTTTTTTCAAGGGTTTAGGGTTTAGGGTTTAGGGTTGCTCTTTTTAAGGGAGGGGTGTGGAGCATAGATTCAAAGGGTAGGGCCCTCGAAGAGGTGCTGTAATCGGGGTCGGAATGATTGCCAATAGCATTCCCTTATGGCCCCTTTATCAATATAATAACTAATACCCCCCCCCAAAGCCCGGATTCTAATTACGAATTCTCAAGGCTCCTTGATTATGTGTATGTGTTTTTCCAGAGTCCCACCATGAAGTTCTTTGGGATGCGAAAGCTTGAGGCTGCGAGTTGACGCTCAGGGCCCCAAGGTTGGATCAGGATCGCTCTGACGGCCCGAAACCCTCCATCCTACTAACCCGAACCCCGAAACCTTAAACCCTAAATCCTAACAACCCGAACAAACCCTAACAACCCGAACAGCCCTAACAGCCCCAACAACCCTAAAATCCCAAGCCCTAACACAAATTGGCCCGAAATGCTCAGGTTCATTTACGTGGACGCAAACCACGCCGAGGAAGCGGCCGCGACCCTCGGTCCTTGGGAGCTTGGGGAACCTTAAACCCTAAAACCCTAACCTTAGACCCTATAAACCCTACAACAAAAAAAGCAAAGCAAACAAAAAAGGAGGCCTTGGATGTTCGAAGCAGCGAGGTCTCCCGGGATCTGGAGCTCTGGTGGCCCATCCTGGCACCTGGAGGACTTATGGGAGGCCCCTGGGACAGGCTTCGGGGTAGTTCCCCTTGTTTTAAGAGTTCTTGGTAAGAGGCTGAGTATGCTCTGTCTTGTACGGGCTGCTTCCACAGCCTGCTGGCGCAGTGTTGCCACGCAGGCTTGTCCTCGCAGCCCATACTGTTATGGGCACTCACTCTGGGCATTGGCAGTGAAATTCCTGGCCTTTGCCTATAGAGTGCAGGGTTTGAATGGAGGATGCGTGGACTCACTACTGGCCCCTGTGCTCGCATACAGTTCGAGGATCCACTGCCGTCTGGCCTGTGCGCTTCGGCGTCTGTGCGGGCACTGGGGAGTTCATGGATGCTTGCGTGGGGTGGCCAGTCAGGGACCTCGAACCTTTGCTGGAGGGTTGCCGATGACGCTTGCGGAGGCTCCCTGAGACGGCGGAGGGGAAGGCACCCTTTGGCAGCCGTACCCTGCGTGCCATCCATCCATCCATGCTCTGTCTTGTAAGTCTTGTAAGATCCTTGGTAGAAACGGCGGTTCTCGGCGCTCCGGGGGGGTGGGGGTGGGTGGGTGCGTTTTCGGGTTGAATGTAGGACCCCACCCCCAAAACCCCTAAGCCCTGATTCTGACTCTAACCCCCCCGCAGCCTTGCACCCTGTCGACCCTACAAACCCTGGATAAAACCTTGTGAGCCCTGTTTGCCTATTTGTATAGCCATATGAAGAAGAATCACACACATATATATATATATATATATTGTATATACATCCATGCATGCATGCATACATACATACATACATAAATCCGGTGTATACTTACAAAGTATCCCCCTTCCGAAGTCGAAGGGTAGCTTTAGGAGACCCGCAATTCCCCAAAAGAGCGCCTCACTCTCTTGTCTTGGTGGGATTTCCGAGAAGGGTAAGGGAGGGGTGCCCAAGATACCTTGCTGCGTTTCATAGGAGCCGCCCTCCCCCCCCCTCTCCCCCAAAAGAGAAAGCCCCGACATGGCACTCCACGAAAGTGCAGCCTCCCCCCACTTGCCAGGTAGCACCTACATGGATGATTCTGGCAGAAACATCTATGCACCCGGGCAGCGCACACCGGGACGCTGTCCGTCAAATTTTTAACGCTTCTGCCATCGTCGACGGTCTGCAGTTTGTCAACGTCAGCGCTCCCATGACCATGCCGTCCTTTAGGTACTCGTACATGTGAATGCAAAGGATGCATGTAAAGCATGCATGTAAAGATGTGTGTGTGCGCGCAAAAATGTGTGTGCGTGTGTGTATATATGTATATATATATGTGTATATATGTACACATGTATACACGTATGGTGCAAAGTGTTATATATATATGTATATATATATATATATGTCTATGTATATATATATATATGCATGAGTCCTTGCCTCTTAGGTACGAAGTGCCGTGGACAAGTTTGCTGCCCGACGGCAGCTGCAGGCGCTGTGCCTCACAATTCCATTTCACAGTAAGCATGAACGCCTCAGACAGGGAGAACTTCAGGAGGAACCCAAGAGCAGCAGTTGCAGTAAACATGAACTTAGTTACCATAGTAAGAATCGTGATCATAGTATTTGTTTCCAAGGGCCACAGTAGTCGTAACAGCCACATCAACCATGGTCATCACCACCACACCCACCATCATCATCACCATCATCATCGTCACCTATAGCCGTTGTACTCGTAGTCATGGGAAGCATGCGCAAGCAGTCGGGGCTCACAAGGAACCGCTTGGGCATTTCAAGCCGCAGGTCATCACCACCACGGACGACATGCCGGCGTCGTGGTTTATCGTGAAGCCGTGAGAGCTGTTGCTAAGCTTCCGGAGCCGAAGGATCCCCGACTTTCTGCTCGGTACCCTGGGCTTGGACACCGGCCTCCAGCCCCAACACGCCGCCGAAGCATCTTTGTCACCCCCTCTGCTGTATGTAATTCTGTGCAGCTGAGGTTGGTACTGCAGCTAGGTGCTTGGGCGGGTTTCACTCGAGCTCCAGGGCAGCTAGCCATGAGCTGCATGCTGGAGAAAGTGACCTTTTTGTTGCACGTCTTGATTTGAGGGTTTGGGGTTTCGGGCTCAGGGTTTTACAGGCTAACAGCCGGGAATTCGGGGTTGCTGCCTGCTCTCCCCCCCATTCTTTAATTCGTCATAGGCAGAGTTGGTTTGGGAGGTGTAGTTGAAACCGGACTCTGTTGTCAAGATGGTCCAGTGTGGAATCTTTTTCTTATCCAGGCTAGCAGATCGGGCATTGGGCATTCACTGGAACCCTGAACTCGAAACCCCATCTCCGAAGTCCAGGGATTGGTTTCTGGACAGCTTGGGGCCCTCTATTGCGAGCACGGACTCACCAGAGGGTTTGCTTCAGGGTTGATAGGGTTTAGGGTTCGAAGGCTTCCGGGTTTAGAGCTTAGGGTTTAAGGGTTCAGGGTTCGAAGGGTTTCGGGTCAGTAGGGTTTCAAAGGGGTTCCGATGTATCAGCCGCTGGCTCGGACGGATGCGTTCCCACCTCTGGGCCGGTCCCTCTTGAAAGCAACCCACATGCCCTAGAGGCCCCTCACCCTAAACCGTAAACCCTAAACCCTTAAACCCTTAAACCCTTAAACCCTAAACCCTAAACCCTAAACCCTAAACCCTAAACCCTAAACCCTAAACCCTAAACCCTAAACCCTACGCGCCACTGACTCACACACTCACCACCGCAACCCACCTACCGCACCAGCTCCATGGGCTGCTTCTTGGTAGCCGCAGCCACAGCCGGAAGATAAGAGTAGTACCAGCAATACTCACGCCCTTGTCAAATGGTAGAAGAAAAAGTGGGCTGTAAGACAGAAAGGCCAACGGATACTAGACGAGACTTACCAAAGTAAGCACGAACTACGCCACAGTATAGATGAAAAAAACAAAGTTGAGCCAAAAGAAGCACAAGACACTCATTGGAGCAAAGAGCCAAGAGCAAGCAACCAAAGGGCCGCGCAGCCCTCTGCTTTCTGCGATGGCGGCGAGCGGAGGCCTTGTGCCGGGAGGTTGACTTGGGGGAGGGCGCGGCGCGATGGGGATGAGGATGATGAGTACTATGGCTGCTTTTGGCATTGCTACTGTTATTGCTATTGTTGTTTTTGGTGTTATTCTTGCTGTTGCCCGTTGTTACTGTTCTTATGTCTTTACTGCTTAACATTGACCTTGTTATTGTCATTATCGTTATTGGCATGTTCGTTGTTCTTGTTCTGGTGTTTTCTTGTTATCCCGCCTTCTCTACTTATGGTTGCCGTTGTTCTCCTTGTTGTTATGATCTGGTTACTACTGTTGTTCGCAGCTCTGGCCATATTTGTTGTTCAATCGTTGCTATTCGTATTGTTGTTACTGTTATGATTTTCAGGGCGTTTGGAGATTTGGTGCAAGGAGACCTCCCTGATAAGTTCCTAGAGGAGAGATAGGCGCGCTCACCAGGGGGGGGGCTGCAGGATTTGTCCAGCTGGTTTCACGGCAGGTCGCGGGTTGTGTCTTTGCGGGTGTCTTTCCTATGCTGACGTTGGCTCGAGCCTAGTTTGCTCCATGATCGGCAAACGACGCGGCCATCCCCTTCCAGTCAGGCCAGGCTGATCTCGTCGCAGCTTTTCTGGGTCACTCTGTACATGTTAGTGCAGGTTCCTTAATCTTGCTTCTGTGAATTACGCACCCAGACCTCCAGCTCCAGTAAAAATCGATTCGCGAGTTTGACACAGGCTTAGTACCGCGAGCCGTTCGGGCCCAAACGTCCACGCAGAACCGATCCCTTGCTCCCCCCGTTTCTTCTTGGAACCATGGCTGTTGCACGAGGCCGGCACACGCCATCGGGGGTGTTGTGGCATATCTTGAAGGTGTGTCCGTCGCATTTCCTCTCAGACAGAGATGTCTTCTGGGCATGTACACTCTCAGACATGCCTGAGGATGAGTCAAACCTTCGTACCCACAGACCTTTTTAATTTTTGTCGAGGCCGCACTGCTCGCGCTGCCCTGCTGGCTCTCCTCATTGCGCTTGGGCTCTGTGGGGAGGGGGGGGGACTTCTGACTCTGACATGCCGTACAGAACCCAGATGAGTCTTGAGGCAGGTTTTTGCAGCCCCTGATTTGCAGCGCCCAAGAAATCCCAGGAATCCAAAGTAGTGCCGCAGTCTAAATGATGACCATTATCCCCTTGTACCTCTACCCGAAATTGCCCAACACGCCTCACTCTACTCCTGTAACCCTGAACCTTTACACCCCTAAACCCTTAACCCTTAACCCTCAACCCTTAACCTTTAAACCCTAAACCTGAGAAGTTAGGTGCCTGCCGCGCTCTGCTTCACCGGCCTGGCTCCTAGCAGCCCAAGCCGCACGCCAAGGGCTGCAGAGGCCAGGAGACAAGAAACTCTTGGGATGTAATTAGGGTGGTTTAGGGTTTAGGGTTTAGGGTTTAGGGTTTAGGGTTTAGGGTTTAGGGTTTAGGGTTTAGGGTTTAGGGTAAGGGAGTTTAGGGTAAGGGAGCCTAGGGGGGTTTAGCAAGTTCGGTGGGTTCCGCGGGTATGAGCCTTTAGGGTTCGCAAATTTCTGGGGAGTGCCCAAGCTTGGAGTGCCCAAGCTTGGAGCTGCGCAATTCAAAGGGTAGTTCCAGCTGAAGAAACCTGAGTGCCGCTCAGAGTTTTCGGAATCAAGCCTCCGCGCTGGGGCAGGCGAGCATTTCTTACATCCGGAGTTCAACTGCAGCTATCGCACTCAGCCATGGCTTTCATGGAATCTCGTCTGCCACCTTTGCCACGGGCGTTTCTCACCTTCGATGAAGAGTCTTCTCCCGTTCGGACCACCCTCCGTCGATCCCGCAGCTACTCCGGCTACACACCCTTCGAAGTCAGCGAAGCCAGCTCCGAGTTTGACTCGGAGCCCTGTGCCGGACTTGTGGAGCCTGCGGAGCTGTGTCCTCCAGACACCGACGATGAGGAAGCAGTCCAGTGGGTTGAGTTGAGGCTTCCTTCCTCGCAGGGGGGGGGGGGTGTCAGCTGCACATCCGCAAACCAGCGCCACCACTATGATGATAAGCCGTTTACCAAGGCTCGTGACGCAGCACGACCTCATGGAGCAGTTGAACCGCTTCGGCTTCCAGCAATTTTATGACTTTTGCTACGTGCCGTACACCTTCGACTGCAAGCAACACAAAGGCTACGCCTTTGTCAACTTCGTCAACCCCGTGATCGCCCATGTATTTCAAACCTCATGGCACAACCGCATGCTCACCACCTCGGCGGGGAATTCAGGTAAAGTCGTCATTTTCCCCTCGGAGGTGCAGGGCCTGGAGGCCAACATGAGAAAGTGGTGTGGACCTCGCACGCAGCACACCTGCAACCCGAACCTAAAGCCCTTTGTGCTTTCAAAGGCGGTGAGCGCGACTTCTACCACATCCAAGCAGGTGATGCAAGCCCGGCGTGCTGGCGCGGTTGCCCTGCGGAAGGGAAGAGCCATGATGCCTGCTGTGACTCCGGAGTTGTTTTCTCACAGATCGACCTCCTTGCCGCATGGTCTTGGGCCTGGTGCGGCATGAGGGCTCGATGCATAATTGTGCGGCCTTGACAGGGAAGAAGATGTCCTTTTGGTCGAGGGGCAGTCTTATCCAACCCGAACTTTGCAGAGCCTGATGAAGACGCTTTCAGAACCAATAAAAGGACATGACGCGAAGACTTACAATGCGGTTCACTGATGAGGTTCACAAGTTCTCAAAGCTACGAGTACCCTGCAGAACCCCCGAACCACTGCTGCAATAAGCATATAATATGTATCTGTATATGTATGCATGTATATGTATATGTATATGTACGCATGTACATGTACATGTATATGTACATGTACATGTACATGTACATGTATGTGTATGTGTATGTGTATGCGTATGCGTCTGTGTATGTGTATGTGTATGTGTATGTGCATGCATGTGCATATGTATATGCATATATGTATATGTATATGTAGATGTAGATGTATATGTACATGCATATGTATGTGTATGTGTATGTGTATGTGTATGCAGGTGCATATGCATATGCATATGCATATGCATATGCATATGTAAATGAATAATATAAAACAAGAAAAATAAAATACAGAAATAGTATAGTAAATACATAAAGCATATATATATATATATACACATGTATAAGCTGCGTGCTGCCCGATCAAAAGACGTCCGCGCCGCAGAAGACTTTGGCAGATTGCAGAATCCTCGGCGCGCTTGGTAGGGGGGGACATGTCTTAGATTTCTAGATTCAAGAGCAAGACGATGAGGATAAGGGTTCTAACTTAAACACCCCTCCCCTCACCCCCCCGAAAATAGACATTTGGAGGGTCGGGAAGGTGGCAGCTGCATGCGAGGGAGTGTGCCTGCAGGCAGCTGCGTAAGGGGGATGTGCGCGCGCGTGGCAGTCCGCATGCAGCTGCTCGGCGAAGCATCTACGTGCGCGCGAGGCGGTGTGCGTACAGGTGCACGGCAGAGCGTGTGCGTGTGTGCAGCGGTGTTGCGTGTAGGGCAGGTATGCGGCGAAGCGTGTTCTCGTGCGGGTGGTGTGCAGCTGCGGGTAATTGCACGAGTACAAACGTACGCGCGCCGTTCCACACCTGTGCACAGGCGCACGGCCCGGACATAGGCATCATGAGATTTGCAATGCATGATTTGCGTGTGGCCAGTATCTAATCTAATAATTAGCGCAGCAAGAGGCGGGAAGAAGGTGACACGTTCGTTCTTGCGCGGAGTGTGTGCAAACCACCAGACGCACATATGCACAGCGGCAGGCGCGCGCCTGCCCACAACCATCAGGCGTGAACGAACACTCGTGCAGCTGCCTTGGACGCCAGCTTGCCCAATTGTCAGTTCTCTTATAAGTCAGATAAGCGCCTTTTCTGCAATCGACTCGGAGGTCTTCAACTTGCGGTAGCCCAGAAAACGAAGTAGCTGCTACAGGAAACACCTTGTGGCCAAAGCTACTTGGCTGGGCCACGCTGTAATATACAAGTCGAAGGGGCTTTAGACACTGATGGGAACACCTCAGTGCTCTGGCCAGCGCAGCAAACCTCCGCCGCATGAAGTGCTGAAATCCGGCGCAACATGCGGCCGGTGTTCATTTCAGACACTGCTCGCTTTGAAGCCTGCGGCTGTGGAGAACCAACTGCAGCCGGTATCAAGGCGACTTTTGGGGGAGGCTTGCGAGAGCCCCGATAGAACCATACAGAACCTGACTCATAGCAGAACCGATGGGCGATCATAGGATAGGCACGATGCCTATAAGTATTGTCATTTGCTGAAGAGCTTACCATGTCTCCACTCATGGTAGGATATTCGGAGGTCGGACAGCTTGCCCCCCCAAGCCCTTCAAGGCCCGCCAACGGGAAATGCTGATCCGGTTTTACCTGATGTGTTCTAATGATATTGTGGGTGCTAGATGATGGCAGGCGCACTGCATGCGCACGTCTAGTGCGTCCTCGTACAGAGGTACTGCCAGTAGCCGCCAGTGGGCGAAACAAGCTCTCAGGGAGTTAGCGGTTCCGTGATGCAGCTGCGTAGTGGTGGGATGTGGTGGGAGCTTGGTGTCTTTGGCAGATCGCTGGCGGTTGTTGCGACCACGACAGAGTCGCAGCATCTGAACTCCTTTGCCAAGAGCTGGTTAAGCTCAGAAGGGTGGGATGATAACACGAGATCGAAAAGCTGCCAATTTGTAGCAGGCCGGGTGTTCCATGTTCCAAAGTTGTGCGTCCCCTTAGACATAGCTCGACATGTGTGTTGGGGTACTCTAAGCGGCGCGTCGGGCGTGTGGCAGATCCTTTGCTCTTACAACTTCGATGAGCATAGCAAGGGGGGCGATGCTGAAGTCAGGGGGAAGGGGTGGGTCTAACTGAGGAAGGGGCCGTATCATTGCCCATAGATAGGAGTTCGTGTTTGTTGGTAGGGAGGTATGCATTCTCATAAGAACAACAAAATTCATCATCATCGTGAATCTGAGGGTTTCCGAAG